ACTTCTTCTTCTTCTTCTTCTTCTTCTTCTTCTTCTTCTTCTTCTTCTTCTTCCTCTTCTTCTTATCTTCTTCTTCTTCTTCTTTTTCTTCTCATCTTCTTCTTCTTCTTATCTTCTTTTTCTCCTTCTTCTTTGTATCTTTTTCTTCTTCTTCTTCTTCTTCTTATCTTCTTCGTCTTCTTCTTCTTCTTCTGCTGCTGCTTTGTTTTCTTTTTCTTTTTTTCTTCTTCTCCTTCTCCTCCTCTTCTTCTTCTTCTCCTCCTCCTCTTCTTCTTCTCCTTCTCCTCCTCCTCTTCTTCTTCTCCTTCTCCTCCTCCTCTTCTTCTTCTCCTCCTCCTCCTCTTCTTCTTCTCCTTTTCTTCTTCTTCTTCTTCTTCCTTAACACTGCTGTTGGTACTGTTGCAGTTTACAGCTAGACTGTAATATCTGCTCCTTTTGTCCCAGCACATCCACTTTCAACAAACCCCTAATCAGTCATCTTTTACATACCGATTAGGGAGGCACTGGATTGATTCCCCTCCCCCCTTCCTCAAAATGGGGCCCTGGAACCCACACAAAGACGAGCTTGCTTTAGCATATTTGTTAAAATAAACTGTCTGCTGTCTCTGTCAGGAAATTTGACTTCAGTGTTCCCACTGATTCTTTGGAAACATCACCAGGCGAGGCAGCTGTCACATTCAGGTGCGGCTCTTGTACTGTCACCGGGAAAAAACAACCTTTTAATAGAGAATCATCAAATTGTTAACGAACCTCTTAACCACAGAGCTGTCCTTCTTTCCTAATGTCAGCAACTAATCATCAGACAAGATGTGATATATTACACATCAACAACCAGCTATCACACAAGATGTGATATATTACACATCAACAACCAGCTATCACACAAGATGTGATATGTTACACATCAGCAACCAGCCATCACACAAGATGTGATATGTTACACATCAACAGTGTGATATGTTACACATCAGCAACCAGCCATCTCACAAGATGTGATGTGTTACACATCAACAACCAGCCATCCCACAAGATCTGATAGTTACACATCAACAACCAAGCAGCATACAGTTTGTCATTTATGACACCATCACACAGTCAGCTACCAGCCATTACACAAGATGTGATATGTTACACATCAACAACCAGCCATCACACAAGATGTGATATGTTACAAATCAACATCCAGCCATCACACAAGATGTGATATGTTACACATCACACAAGATATGATATGTTACACATCAACAACCAGCCATCACACAAGATGTGATATGTTACACATCAGCAACCAGCCATCACACAATATGTGATATGTTATACATCAACAACCAGCCATCACACAAGATGTGATATGTTACACATCAGCAACCAGCCACCACACAAGATGTGATATGTTACACATCAACAACCAGCCATCACACAAGATGTGATATGTTACACATCAACAACCAGCCATCACACAAGATGTGATAGGTTACATATCAGCAACCAGCCATCACAGAAGATGTGATAGGTTACACATCAGCAACCAGCCATCACACAAGATGTGATACGTTACACATTAACAACTAGCCATCACACAAGATCTGATAGTTACACATCAACAACCAAGCAACATACAGTTTGTCATTTATGACACCATCACACAGTCAGCAACCAGCCGTCACACAAGATCTGATAGTTACACATCAACAACCAAGCAGCATACAGTTTGTCATTTATGACACCATCACACAGTCAGCGACCAGCCATGACAAAAGATAAGTTACACATCAACAGTGTGATATGTTACACATCAACAGTGTGATATGTTACACTTCGATAACCAGCCATCACACATGATGTGATATATTACACATCAACAACCAGTCATCACACAAGATGTGATTTGTTACACATCAACAACCAGCCATCACACAACATGTGATATGGTTCACATCAACAACCAATCAGCACACAGTTTGTGATATGTTACACATCAACAACCAGCCATCACACAAGATGTGATATGTTACACATCAACAACCAGCCATCACACAATATAAGATATGTTACACATCAGCAACCAGCCATCTCACAAGATGTGATATGTTACACATCAGCAACCAGCTGAGGAAGCAGACTGAGCACGTATGGCAATGTCCTGAGTATATGAATGTCAGTAATTGATTGGTTTATTTATTCATTCTAACAAGACCATGTCTGTGGCTTAGGCGTTACAAACGCACTTTGTAATGCCAGAGTACCGAGTTCGATCCTTGCGCCTTGCGTTGGTTTCGACAGTGGTATCGAAAAGCCGATCGTCTAGAAAGAAATGGCAAACTACTGGACGTAAACTTGCGTAAGAAAACTACAACAGCCAAAAAATGCTGGGGCTGGTTCTGCAACGTCCTGTAAAGGATACGCAACTTACTAACAAGACCATAAACTGCACATGTTCGAGAACTGAGGATATACATTGTACATATTTTCAAAAGTGAATGCAGAAACTACATATTCTGGAAGGCCTATTCTTGAAGCCGCACGTCGTACATATTCTAGTATTGGCAATACATGAAACACACAGCCTGCAAGAACGACTCAGCGCTGATCTAATCAAGATGAGAACTGTAATATGAGCGAAATGTGATCAGAGTAACAGATCTCCCATGCTGTTAAACTCTAGTGCTCAAAGAAAAGTGTTGATGGGAGGAGGTGGGGCGGCATGACTGGTGCGCATGGGTATCAGAACTCTTTTGTTCTCGAACTATAATGCGATTGGGGAGGGGGGTTGGCTGGTATGCATGGGTATCAGAACTCTCATGTTCTTGAATTGTAGTGCACGGGGAAGATTGGGGGAGGGGGGGGGGGTCTGGTGTGTATGGGTATCAGAACTCACATGTTCTTGAATTGTAGTGCACGGGGAAGATTTTTTTTGTTGGGGGGGGGGGGGGGGGGGGGGAGGGGGAGGGCTGGTATGTATGGGTATCAAAACTCTCATGTTCTTGAATTGTAGTGCACGAGAAAGATTTGAGGGGGAAACAGGGGTTAGGTTGTATAGGCAGAGAAAGAAATTGTGAAGAAAAAAAATGAGATCCAAAAGAAACCCTGCGACGAACAATAATGGGGGCGGCTAGAAGTGCCGGACTAGACTCCACACAGGATATCATAAACTATTGCTGATGATAAAATGGGAATAGGAAAGTCGGCTGCAGCTCTGTATTAACTGTACAATTGCACAGTCAATAAATGAATGAGGAAATATAAATATGTTGCTATTGCTGAATTCATAACATGTTTATCAACTCACAAAGGTGTCATTCATCTTGCCCAAGTAAGTACATCTATATTTAGACTTAATTCGTATTCACCATCAGCCCAGCCAGATATGCAGATAGCGATTAGCCATATGATTGTGCGTATCGCTCTTTGGTATTTAAAAAAAAAAAATAGCTGAACTATCAGCCACTATCAGTTCTACACCGGACGCTGTAGAATCCCTGTTTGTAGTGTTGCTTGTGTGTGCATTTATTTATGATGTTTATGCACAATAACAGAAGTTTCAAATAAAGGTAAGTACACCATTAGTCAATTTAGATCTCTGTTTTCAGATCGGACCTTATAAAATTGTCGATTGTAGAGAGGTCTTAGATCGATTGAAAGTGCACTGAATTTTTAGAAACTCGCTGAAGGACCCGAAAAACCAAACTTGATTAGGGTATATTCACTCAGTCGTATTCAGACAACGACGTTAATGGGAGTTCTAAAGGAATCACCTCGTCCGGTAGGGAGCATCATGTTCTACAGGTGATACCCGACCGTCATCCAGCTACTGTACATAAAGTAAATGTCAGTAACAACCTAAACAGTGGTATATAAAATGTCAGAACTCTTTTACAAGAACTCAGATGTGGTTTTACAGCAGAATCCTTATAATTCCTTGGACAGCTAATAAGAGCAACTCAGATGTTTTAAATGAGGCGAGGGCTCGAAGACAACTTATCACAAACATCAGAAAGAGACAGTCATCATTTTTTGGTCAAGTTATTAGAACAGGGAAAATGGAATTTGTTGTGACTGCTGGAAAGATCTGTGGAAAAATGGACAGAGGAAGACAGCATGAGAAGATTCTTGATAGTTTTGTGTGTGTGTGTGTGTGTGTGGTCATAACAGGGAGGGTTTCAACACAGGAACTGATAAAAGAGTGGCGGATCGCAGATTGTGGAGAGGCATGACGGCCCACACCAGTCGGCAAGGTACTTGATGATGATGATGATGATATTTCATACTTTTTTGACTCATCAGCACTCTAGTCAAATGTGTTGACAGTGCCTTTAGTCCCCAAGGAATGTCCTTGTAATCAGTCTAGAATCCGTTGACCTAGGAGTCCAAGTCAGTTGGGGGGGTGGGGGGGGGGTGGTGTGGGAGATGTGTGGGGGGGGGGGGTCCACACCTTGAAGGAATATGGTTGGGTCGAGAGGCAAGCCACAGTGCTACAATGGTACCTGGCGCTTTGGGGAATACGAAAGATTTATAGCATTATGACAAAAAGGCTTCAAATACTGGCCCCAATATATTGTCCTGTTTGCTTCGAATGCGAAGTTGTCCGCCTGTGGGGCCAACAGTCTGCACACAAAAAAGCCAGATCTGTAAAATGAATGTGTCTTCTACCATCCGACTCATTTGCGAAGACTGTTTTGTCTCTATCCAATTTTTTTTTTCTCTTTTGGTGTACGCCTTGTATGGTCTGGTGTCACGTGGCATTCTCTATAAGAGGACAACCCATTTGATTTTCTGTCTTTGTATGTAATTTAGAATTGGTTCGGAACCGACGTTTTCTCCTATGACCTCAGTTCTAATTTTCTCTCTTCTGGTCACCCCTGCAGCCCTTCTCAGACATCTCATCTCCATGGCTAGCAATTTTCTTTTCTGGTTTGTTTGAGTGACCATGTCTGCCACTGGCTGCATATGTTGGACATGTTTCTTTGTCTCTACAGATAGCTACACCTCCCGCTGCAGACATGATTAGCCAGTACATTACTGGCACGAAAGCTCTGATAATCCAATTGTTGCTGCTGAGTCGCATGGAGCTGTGCGTGTGGGGTGAGACACAGACGTGCCAAGGGGACGGACCTTGTCGCTGTGTGATGAGTGATGGTGGTGTTGTGGATATTAGCAGCATTGGAAACACGGATGGGACAGCACGGTTAGTATCCACAATTAAATCTTCTCCTCCTCCTTCTTCTTCGCGATCACCGGCTGTAAACTCTGGAGGAAAGTTCTGGTTGTTCGCCCACTCATGGACTTTGGCCTTGTTCCAGAACTTAGGTTTTGCGTTTAGATCCGTTTTACAGATCAGGCTTTTTGTATGCAGACAGTAGTTTCTCTTTGCTTTCTCCACGATGGGTTCTCGATACCACAGGTGAAACCAACATGAGACGATTGGTCTAGTTTATAGCCTGGCGTATGTGGCTGTAGCTTATCAGATGCATCCTACAGAAATGGTATCGACACAAACGAAGTGCACACGCACAAAAACAACACGCAACTGAAATACATAGCACGCCCAGTCCTTGCGATGTGTGCATTGTAAATTCAGTAATCCATCAAGCAATAGATTGTAAGAAGTAATGTTTCAGAAATAAAACCCGCTTTTGACGAGATACAACCAAACATGCTAATCACTTGAGTGTGCAGTCCGCTGTTTAAGTTTCTATAAATGAAATTCACAACGCGAAAAGTATGTGTGAATTTCTTCAAACTTCTCTCTCTCTCTCTCTCTCTGTGTGTGCGCGCGCGCGTGTGTGTGTGTGTGTGAGTGAGATGCTCTCTTTCCAGTGAGTCTAAGTTGTACCTAATGTATTTATATATTTGTTGACAGCATTTTATCAAAGAAATATAGCTTCACCAATGCAAACAGCAGTGAATGGAGAGTTAATGAGTATATGTGCTTCAACTGAATAGGGCGAGAAGCAGCAAGAAGAAGAAGAAGAAAAGAAGAAGAAGAAGAAGAAGAAGAAGAAGAAGAAGAAGAAGAAGAAGAAGAGAAAGAATAGGGGGTGGGGGAATAAAATAACCTATTTTTTTTAAACATTTTCTTAATTTTGATCAATCCTTTCACATTTTCTCGCTTACTGACAATATATAATACGCTTGGCTACTAAATATAGACAGACCAAGCATATTCTTGTATGTATAGTGTTGATTAGCAACGTCAGTAATTAACGCATGTAAAAGCTTCAATGACATGTTTGTTGTCGCAGGTTTCCAGAATCTCCAAGCTACGACGCTGATCTGTTCTCTTACAACCCTTGTTTTCCGTCCGGTGTTCAAGGCTGTAACAATGCTGCCGTGAGTATCATTGCTTTAACTCCTCGTGAAGGCTCCTGGGTCCCCATTGTGGGGAAACAAATAAAACCACCGCCCCCCCCCCTTTTCTCCAAACAAACATGTCGTAAAAGTCGACTAATTATTGGTGTTTCTTTTGAAGTCGGAATGCAAAGAACCAATAATCTGCATCTGCCTGAGAGGCAAAGAACCAACAATCTGCATACAAAGAAGCCAGATATGTGAGGGCAAACCTCAAGTTATGGAACAAGACTTAAGTCCAGAAGTGGACGAATAACCAGAATTTCTGACGGAGTTTACAGTCGGTGAATGCCAAGAAGAAAAAGATCACTTTAATTCGCTCGGTACTAAGCAGCATAATTTACGTTTATTGGTTACTATTTATAAATATTGCAAAGTGGTAACGCCTCGAAGCACAGGAAGACTGATTCATGTTTATGCTTATTCAACGGATCAACATCATGGCACACGGGTGTAACCCATTCGTGCTCCGTTCTTCTTCTAACTCAAGCCTGAGTCCGAAGAATCTTAGCGCAGTGCACGAATTCTATTGCACCAGCGAGAATCCTGAAATACTTTGGGTACATTTTTAACAAATTTTGCCCGGGCAGCCTCGTTAAGCTACTCTTTTCGATTTCCAACCCCCAAGGGATTTTTTACGTGCGCAAGAATACACACGGGCGTCCTGTCTTGCTACCAAGAGACCAGGGGAAAATTACTAGAAATCCACGTGACAGAAATCCCAGCCTTCACAAGGGACTGAACCCGGGGCCTCTAGCACTCGAGGCGGACGCCTTGCCTTGAGACGCAGCCCCCCTCATGTGAAACCGGATAAAACCTAGTAGTATCAAACGACGATACAGGCCACTGCAGCATTAAAGGAAATGAAAGAGAAGACTGTGGCAACAATTGGAAGTCATACAGAACAAGCAGATACATGGGGCACTTATGAGGACAATAACACTCTGATCAAGGTGGCCATTGGAACCCACTGGAACATTTCCCATCCAGGACCCATTCAACATTCTCACAGGACAGAAACTCCCGGTTAAAATGGCGAGGCAAGGGGATTTTTCGGCCAGCAGCTAACAGGGGGTCAATTTTGGACATCCTAGAGTGGAAGCTGTGTTAAACTAATCTGAATGTGATAGTCTAGTTCAAGTGTGACCTTGTAGGAGGTTGGAAAAATGTGATAGTCTAGTTCAAGTGTGACCTTCTAGGAGGTTTGAAAACACCATGACTGGTCCAGCAAACCGACAGTGGCTTTCTTGTGCTCGTAGAAAATGAAGAGCTCTCATGAATTGACTAGGGACCAGTTCCAGGCATCTCTTCTTACCCTAATACCGTGAGGCATTTCAGGAGTAGAGAAAAGTAGAGACGACTTTTGGGACGGTGTAGGACCAAGTGTTGGGGGATAGTGGCCTTGAAACGTTAAGGTCGCATAGCTAGTGCAGCCGTCACAAACTGTTAATCCATTGATCAGTTTGTACCCGCCGGGATGCTTCTTAAAGCTTCACCATGCTATACTAAGATTAAGTATCTTAATCTGGACGGTCGACCAACAAGGTTTATCGCCGTTCGACCCATAAAGAAGTTATAATTAGGGCACCTGTAACGGCTACATAAGCCAGGTGTAATCTGCAGTCCTTATGTGGGTAAGAACGTCACGAACTGACGAACTGTACAGGATAGGACTTTCCCTTTTGCCATTCCCAAAGACAGAAACACTCATTATCCTTTACCGAGGACCGAACCCTTGTACCCCGTATGAGAGCTCAGCGCCTTAACCGTTGAGCCAACGGCTCGTGTTTTTACCAGTGTTTATGTTTTGTCTTCAGGTGTGTCAATCAGTGAATACCAGTTTCGTGAATATAGGCAGCCAAGATTCCGCCCAGTGGACGTTCCGGGTACATTACCCTATTGTCACTTACACGTCTGTTGACAAGTAAGCGTTGCTCCCACACACACACACACACACGCACACACACTTACGCGCGCGCGCATGCACGCACGCACACACAGACAGACAGAGAGAGAGAGAGACAGACATTACATACATACATACAAGACACCGTTCTCTTAACCAGGGCAGCTTGATCCTCGCCATAATTAACTTCTGAACGGGAAACGTATTTTCATACATCGATTGACTGGATAACTCACGGTTGCTATAGCTATGAGAGAGAGAGAGAGAGAGAGAGAGAGAGAGAGAGAGAGAGAGAGAGAGAGAGAGAGAGAGAGAGAGAGAGAGAGAGAGAATGGGGGAGGAGAGGGAGAGAGGTGGGATTTGATTCATAAACGTGGATTTCCTTTTCACCTGGCCACGATCTCTGTGAGGTATATAAGCTTGTTATTTCTTCACAGGATCAAGTTAAAAACTCAGGCGTAATTGCATGCCGCATAGAAACAGAATTCACACCACACAGCAAAGAAAAGCCACTCAGTAAAATAGGTTGACTAGCCAGTTGCATGAAGCAAGTTTGACATTTTTCTTTTCTAACTAACGAGCGAACGAACGCAGGATCCCCACACACTATTTCGTTTCATGGTATCAAACTCAGAACCACCTGATCCTCAGACAATATTACCATAAGTGTAATATTTTCTTGTAGATTATCCCTCTGCTTCTGCATTCGGACTTGAAAGTGCGGTTGGCACGTTGTGTTGTGGTTTTTAGCTAGGCTGCGATATCTGCATCTTGCGGCACATCCGCTTTCAACAAACCCCTAACTAATCACCTCCTTCTACATGCTTGTTAGGGAGCGCGGCTATGTGGTACCCTGTGGTATTTGGTGCAGACATTTTTTTGTTATTCCCCCCCCCCCCCCCATTCCTTTTTCCGTTTCCCTAGCCACACACATTTCTTTTTTAATATATATTTAAAAAAAAACACAAATTGGTTGCACGTTATCCACCCCTTAGTGGTGACACCCGGGCGGCCTGCAAACCCCTTTCCTGTGGGCCACTGAGCCTGCCCCCCCCCCCCCCCCCCTTTCGCTTAATGAGACCCTGAAACCCACAGTGATGCTCGAATGTGATTGATTTTGTATATTTTTCGACACAGAAAGATCGAAGTTATGTTGATCTGTGACATGAACTTCACAAATCCTCAGTTGACAGTGATCGGCCAGTTGCCCAATGGGACAATTGTAAGTTTTTGTTTTCTGTTTTGTAGTTGTTTACGAATGTTCACAACACACTTGTAGAATTATTACGCGTTCTTTCTTTTTCTGATATTTTGTCTCTCTTTCAGATGTTCATTTGTGTATATCAGAATTCCTATAGAGGAGTTAAGTTTACTCTGTTTCTGTTGTTTGTTTATGTCGGCAATATATAATTGTGTTCTCTCCGTTTCTGAAGTTTACCTATGTTCACAATACACAGTGTTTAATTTAAACAAAGTGCTAAACATGTAACGTCACAGTGCCTATGAACACGGTGAAGTCATAATGACAAGTCAAAGGGGAGCAGCGTTTTTTGTTTTGTTTGTTTGTTTGTTTGTTTGTTTGTTTGTTTGTGTGGAACCAGTAAATTGGTACCACCTATAGGAATTCATTGACGAATAAATGTCCAATATGATTATACACTCCTGTCAATCCAACAAGTGTGTATGAGTGGAGTAGAAAGTTTCAAAATAGCGTGATTTTTGTGACATACAGATCACGACCGTCAAGCACACGGAATAGTGAGTCCAGAGTCGATTGTAGCAATTAAGACCCTCGTCAGGAAAGCCGCCGATTGTCTGTGAGTGACATTGCCGCATATCTTGACATCAGTCGAGGTCCAGCACACCACATAATCCACGATGTGCTACAGTACTACAAAGTCGTCTGCATGGTGGGTTGCTACAGCAGCTTATACTATAATTGAAACAACGACATATTAATGTTTATCAAGAACTTCTGCGATGCTTTGAAGCAGAAAGTAATGGTTTCCTGTCAAGAATTGTTACTGGAGAGAAAATCTGTGATGACTTTGACGAACCGGAAACGATGATAGTTAGCAAGGAATGGCACCATACCTCGTCACCTAAAACAAAGAAGCTTCTCGCGCAGTCATCTACAAGAAACGTTATGCTCTTTTTTGGATGAAGAGACCTTATTTTATAGCAATATATGCCAAGAGGTGAAGCTATCACTGGTGGTATGTACAAAGATCTTCTCATGAATTATCTTCGACCCGCAATCAAATCGAAACGACATTGAGTTCTGAGTAAGGTGTCCTTTTGTAACAAAATGCTCGTCACTACATTACCCATGCAATTGATGAAACCACCGAAGACCTCCACTTCCCCCGTACTCACCAAACCTAGCCCCAAGTGATTTCCACCTGCTTGGACAAACAACGATCATGCACCACACGGTAACACCTGACATGCGGTTTGTTATGCTGTCCGCAGCAACGATCATGCACCACACGGTAACACCTGACATGCGGTTTGTTATGCTGTCCGCAGCAACGATCATGCACCACACGGTAACACCTGACATGAGGTTTGTTATGTTGTCCGCAGCAACGATCATGCACCACACGGTAACACCTGACATGCGGTTTGTTATGTTGTCCGCAGCAACGATCATGCACCACACGGTAACACCTGACATGAGGTTTGTTATGTTGTCCGCAGCAACGATCATGCACCACACGGTAACACCTGACATGAGGATTGTTATGTTGTCCACAGCAACGATCATGCACCACACGGTAACACCTGACATGAGGTTTGTTATGTTGTCCGCAGGGTATGATGCTAACCAGCAGATGTGCCTGCCCCGAAGGATGCAAGGGGGTGGAACCAACCGGCACTAGTAGCCGGGCGCTGTCTGCTGGTTACGTGACAATAATTGTGTGAGTTTTAATGCCTGTTTGCTCTGTTATTTGACGAATTTTATAAGAGAAGTCAAAAAGTATGTCACAAATAGTTGTTTAACACACCCACGCGCACTCGCACGCGCACGCGCACTCACACACACACACCCACCCACCCCACCCCCACCCCCCACCCCAAATCCCCCCACCCCCCCCCCCCCCCCACACACACACCTAAAGACGGTAAGAACTTGGAAACCGTTCATTTGTACACATGCACTGTCCGTTTATTTTGCAACATAATTTCAACCAACATTGATGCACTTATCCTATAGTTTTAGCAGTTCCCCAAACCTGCAGCACAGAACTGCGTGCTCTGTTTTCTAAACATTTTCACTTCGCATTCAACTTCTGCGTCATTCGCGAAATGTCTCCCGCCAAGATGGGTTTTAAGTGAACCAAAAAAGGTGGAAATCGCCAATGGCTAATTCGGCGCTGTAAGGCGGATGTTCCAGAAGTTCCCACCCTAGACAAATAATTTTCTCCTGAGTTAATCATATATGGTCTGGCATTGTCGTGAAGGAGCAGTACCCCTCTAGACAGCAGTCATGGACGTTTTCTTCGAATTGCATCATGAAGCATCAATAGAACTTAGTTTGAATCAGCATTCACATTGCCATCTCTATTTCTTTATTATTATTATTATTATTATTATTTATTAAAAGTATTCATTGACAATCCCAGAACACTGTCAGCATAACCTTCCATGCTGACGGCGTAGCCTTGAATTTTTTAACACAGGGCGAAGGATGATTTTACATTACACTTTGATTCGGGCTGTTATTGTTGCACTCATGTTTCGTCCCCAGTAATAATCCTGTTCAGTATGGCTTTTCCTTCATAACAGAATGTCTTCTCCGTGCATAACAGCACGTTTTTCTTTGAGGGTACACTCCGTAAGTATAGTTGCCATTTTGTTTCTGTGTTGCGAATGAGCATGCACCACTTAGCGCCACCTAACGAACGGAGACATAAAGTTCGCTGTTGCTATCAACTAAGGACACTTTTAGAAACCACCAAATACATTTTCCTGCCATGCTATAACCATTTGTGACTTACTTATTGACTTCCCCCTCGTATGTTAGAAAAATTCTCCCTTACTTAGTAGCCAGGTTGAAGAATGTTAATGCTTCGACCAACAAACCAACTAACCAACCAACTAACTACCTAGCTAACTTACTAGCTAGCTAGCTAGCTAACTATATATATGTGTGCGTGTGTGTGTGTATATATATATATATATATATATATATATATATAAATATATATATATATGTGTGTGTGTGTGTGTGTGTGCGTGTGCATTAATATTGCATAATTAAACAAGGGTTATACTCTTTAAGGCCCCTAGAAACTGATGGACGTAAATGTTTGTTTAACAGGGCAATAATAATAATTAAATTCATAATAAAAGTAATAATATGAGCTGATAAAAAGGTGTATTGGGAAAAAAAAATGAAATGTATAAATAAATACTTTACAAGACAACGTCCATATTTTGTGGCGCTCATGGGAGTGGGGGCTGGACTGTAAAAATTATTGGGTACGGGATAGGGCTCAGAACCGACCGCCCCCTCCCCCTTTTTTTAAAGTTTCTTTAAAACATTAGTTTTAGAGCATTGGGCTTTAATTTAAAGTGGCTGAATTACCATGTTCTGGTACCTTTCTCCCCAAGGACACAGTTATTATTATTATTATTATTATTATTATTATTATTATTATTATTATTATTATTATTATTATTATTATTATTATTATTATGGTGAATGGTAAATAATTATAACAGTATACTTTAAATAATATGAAGTGTTTTAAAAATTACATTTAAAAGAATTTATGTAAACGGTTAAAGCTAGACTTATAGTCTTTCAACAAAAAGTATTGCCCCCTCTCCCCCCTCCCAATGTGAGATTTGATTTGATTTGATTCAAGAATCGACATCACAGCACTCGGGGCATTCCCATAAGCGCTCCGTCCCCATCTTCAGCAGCCAGCGAAGAGTTCCGATACTAATGGTGCCAGTAGCTTTCTGATTAAACGTCCGTCTTGCCTTTCCTATGAGCCTTGAGCTTCTGCCAGAACCTCTCGTCACCCCCAACTGCATCAATCTCACCAGACTGTGGTGATCCATCTGCTCCTCCGCATTTTACACGCTCTCCCACAAGGCACTAACCACGTCTGCCCTATCATGTAGCAGTAATCCACCAAGTTGTGCAGAGCCAGCCAGTCTGTTCGCCTGTTCATTTCCCAACACACCGGCGTGTCCCGGTGAAAGAATCCAGACAATACTCCTCACTTGTGTCCTCCGCAGCGAAGCATGCCACTCTGCACGAAGCATACCTGTTCTGATCTTCCTCAGCATGCTTTCTGAATCAGTTACAATTACAATGTGTGTGTGTGTGTGTGTGTGTGTGTGTCGTGTTCTCTAGCCAGCGGAAAGCTGCAGTGACCGCCTCCACTCCATTCTTAAGCTGGATGTTGTGGTCCAAATATGAGAGACTAAAAATACCTGAGCACTGAACTTCCGGCAACAATGGTCCATCATATTTCCAGACAAAACATTTATTTCAAGTCATGAAATCATCACATTATTTCCCCAGATTTTTCGCTGTCATAGGCGTGTACCTTATTTTAGGAACAAGCATCAACTGTGCCAGATATGGCAAGACTGGCAGTGAAGCGATCCCCAATTATTCATTTTGGTCTGCTTATTTTAGCCTGGTTCAGGTAAGACACAAAACAGATTTTTGATAAATTTGGTTGGCATGTTGGTGAGCTGGTTGTTTTATAAGTAATGGATAGTTTGTGAATTGTAATTCTCCGTGTGTTTTACGGTTCCCATTTACTGAATGGGGGTGCGGGGGGGGGGGGGGAGGGTTTAAGGAGGATAGACCCACTGCCTCCTAACAATCATCAGTGGTGTTGTCTTCGAAGTCGAAGTACATCTGCCTTAGAAGGGAGGAACTAACAGTCTGCTTACACATAAGCCAGAGCTGTAAAACGGGTGTGCACACAAAGCTGAAGTTCTAGAACAAGGCTAAAGTCCAGAAGTGGATGAACAATCAGAATTTTCCGCCGGAGTTAACGTCGGGTAAACCTAAAGAAAAAGAAGGTGAATTTTAATGAAGATGTTTGGGAGGGTGATAGTAGTGGTGTTGGGGTGGGGAGAGGGGGGGGGGGTGTGGAGAGGGGGGGGGGAGAGAGAGGGGGGGGGGTGGTCTCCATGGTGAAGTGGTCAGACCGTTGACCTCACGCTCTGAAGATGTTCGATTCACTATTTATTTTAGTAAGTTACAGACAGACAGACAAACATACAATTATCAAGCGGATATCGTCGGCTTGCTGCAAAATTTAAGATAACATTTGATACATATAAACTAAGTTTATCTCGAGTGAGTGTCGGGTCTTGCTAAAAAAAATGACTGAGCTACCCGTACAACAGTAGCTGGCCCTATCCATCTTTTGTTAAGGCCGAAAGTTGTGCGACGTACATCAAACCTAATATCCCAAATTGTTCCAACAGTTTCGGGCGGCGGAGCACATTGGGTTGAAAACTAGCCACATCCGAGGAAGAGGAAGTGCAACCGGAAAACCCTATGTAATGGCACGACAGACTAGGCCCTTAACCTTGGCTGGCAGCTAGTCTTAGAGGAAAGCTCTGACAGGCGGACAAATAAAGCGCTGCTATTCTGATCCGCAGCTTCTGCAGCGTGCTTTGTTCCAAACATACTGGTGTTATCTTTCCTTGTGAGTAAACAAGGCTGGTCGTGTCAAAGATTATGATACATGGACAACACATGGTCTCTAAAATACTGCTCAAGATTGGTGCTGTGGAGAGGAGCAGCTTCGGGCCGGCTTCTACTACGATAACAAGATATGTGCAAGCGAGACATGAACGATACAGATATTATGGTGAATTCGTGGGAACAAAATGTCATGGATCGTGTTGCGTAGAGGGGGCAAATCAAGAAGTTAATGAGAATGATGGAAGAAATAATTGCAGAAAAGATGCTAGCTGAGCGTCTCAGAAGAAACACACCACATACATGTGATGGTAACAAGTAACCTTTATCTCATTACTTTTGTCTAGTTGCCCTTTTCTCACTGCCTTTCTCTTGTTGCCTTTCTCTTAGTTAGTTTGCTGTGTTGCCTTTCTCTCGTTTCTTTTCTCTTGTTATCTTTCACTCTTGGCTTTCTATCACTGCCGCTGTCTTATTGCCTTTATCTTGTTGCTTTTATCTGGGTTTTTTTGTGTGGCTATCTTTCACCCTTGGCTTTTTATCACTGCCTTCCTCTCATTGCCTTTATCTTGTTTCTTTAATTCACTTTCACTCTTGGCTTTCTCTTATCACCTTTATTTCACTGCGTTTAGCTAATTACCTTTATCTCTCTACCTGTCTCCATTTTCTTTTATATTATTCACTTTTTACAATACTTATGTTTTTCCTATATGTGAACCACACTGCTTTTAAATGTCTGATGTTTACTGATAGGGTAGTTAAAAACTGTATGCACACGTTTCAATTATTATAATACATATATAAATTCTCCATATCTGCACACTTGATTGATAACCTCGATCACACCACTTAAATTGAAGATGTCGCATTTAACGAATATCTTCACATGAGATTATTCTTTTCTAGTCTTGTCACGTAGAAACTACAGTATCAGTGTGTAAGTTTCCTCTATCAATTGTGACACACTGAATACACTACAGATGTTCGTTTTTTTTTATTTCCTTGAGCCGTGTGTTTTTCGGTCCAATAATAAAGGAAACAGAATCGTAATCTACCATAAAAGATGGGAAACTCCTGAAGCCCTAGACATCAAAGACATAAATTTGTTAATATACACATTTTACACAAGAAACATTAATTTTTCCAAAAGCTTTAAATGTGTTTTAAGTAAAATGTCATTATATTTCAAAGTAGTCATCACCATGTTACACACACACACACATACACACAGGCATACACACACACGCACACACACGCACACACAGGGAGAGAGAGAGAGATAGAGATAGAGAGAGAGAGAGAGAGAGAGAGAGAGAGAGAGAGAGAGAGAGAGAGAGAGAGAGAGAGAGAGAGAGAGACACACGAACGCACACAAATACACGTCATCGTCGTAAAAAATGTCACATTCCGTCGAGACAAAAATGGGACTAATTTTCACGAAACCAGGAACTCACAACTTTTATGTTGCCCTTGAGATATATCTTATGCTTTAGGAACATGATAACAGTCACAAGGGGCCAAATTGGCACTATATTCTGCATCACCAAATTGTCATCAAAGTTGAGATACTCCAATACTGATGTTGTTTCTCTACTCGAGTATGGGCGAACATTGTCATGTTGAAGAACTGTGTATTTGCCAGAATTAACAAGCAGCAAGCAGTCTTGCTCATAGTTTCTGCAATGTCTCCATATAGCGATCAGAGTTTACAGTGTTGTCTTGCTTTGAAGTTGTGCGCGTAGATTATACCATGGACGTCCCAGAAAATGCTCAACGAAACCTTTCCCATCGACACAGCTACCTTAAACTCGTTTAGAGTGGATGGTTTCTTATGTCTGCACTCCAAAGATTGTCAATTGTTTTTATTGCAGTTCGACAGATAAAGGCATTGTCATCCCGTTCACATTGCGTCAGATGTTCCTGACACACACTTGACGTCGGCTCTGTTTCATTTCCTATGCTAGCATGCGAAAAAGCCATCTTGCAAAAATAGTCTACATCCAAGCATGTGATAAATAATGTGATGTACTCGCCCAATCGAAATCGCAAGCATAGTATCGACTCTTTTTGCTTGATGCAGCGATTGTCACCAATCAGTTCATCGATGCAAGCGTGATATTGTTCACTCACAACGGTGATTGGTTGTCTGCTGAAAGCCACGTCATGCAGGTCCGTCTTGGCTGGATTGCTGTCTTTTACAGTCCTTGCCCACCTCCCAACAGTACTGACGTCCTCGCGTGCTTCATCATATACCGCTCTCAATCTTCAATATATGTTGATACAAGACCGTCTCCATATGACGGCTCATGCCGCTGATGTCACCAAACCCCGGCTAACGATACTTTAACGTATCATTAGCCCGGTTTTCGTTGATAGGTATACAACTTTCGGCCGTCAAGAATTCAATAACGATTGCTTCAATGTAAATCGCAATTTTTTTGGTACTGTCGTGCGCATGCGCCACTTTTCACATATGTGACCCTTCATGTCTTGAAAGTCACTCATACAGTATTCTCACATCGGTGTCATTTGCCCTCTGTCGCTACAAAGAAAAGTCTGTTTTTGGAGGCATTGATTTTCAAACCGCCCTTCTGTAATAAACAATCTAACCTGTACTGACCCCAAATACAATGTTAGCTGCAAAATCCATGTCATTAAGCATACCATTAAATAGTGGTAGTAGTACTTTTAACCCACCAGGACATTACACAAGCGATAAACACCCAATGACACAAAGTGCCACCATGTGGATGAAGATCACCCGTGGAGAGGTCCCAGAAACCGCGGTCCGCTATTAGGCCATATTAATGGCCGGACTATACTGCGGTCTCTGGCAAAAGCCAGGGTGGGGCTTCAAAATAAGGAAAAATTGCAACCCCCAAGGGGGATAAATAGTTACATGTAATATATTGCTTATAGTTTTTAAATGACTTTTGAAATAATTATTTTACAGGAGGGATTTCGCTTTACAAAACACGCTGTGTGCTGCACAAAAGACGAGAGTTATCAGTCTATTTGATCAACTATAAAGACATATCGAGACTTCTGATAGGCCATTAGGACAACGTTTATAAGATAATGTGATCAACTAGAGGTTTAGTGGTAAATAATACAGTGACATGCTAGCTACTTTATGAACATCATGAGGCTTCAATGCTAGTTTTTGTTTGTTAAATTAACAGATCTCTTTTCACGTTTTAAGGCGTGGTGGGCATATAAAGAAAGCTAAAGCTATATTGTATAGACCAATCGGCACTCGGTGGGTGATGTGATCAACATCAGGCCGGTCGCCTTTGCTACCGAGGACTTTACCTGGTACGCTGTCAAGGATGGCTTGATCCAGGAGCCAAGGTTCATTATTGAAGAAAGTCCAGCTCAGTGTCAGATCCGCAGGCAAACGCCTAGCTGCTACACGATAGCGGCACCCCTGAACACTAGTAGTAACTAAACTGTATTATTGTTATTATTATTATTATTATTATCATCATCATCATCATCATCATTTTTGCTGTCGTCGGGATTATCATCATTATATACGATTAAAAATAAATAAAGGACTCTGAGTTATGAGTTATATTATCTTCACAGCCCTCCAGACATATCCATAGGCGCTCAGATTCCCATCTCAACACATTTATCAGCGTCGTGCAGTTAATAGTACCGAATAGTCCTATGTTGGTTAACAAGACTTCATGTGCATCCGGTGTGCTTCTCATGCTTGGCTGTGCCGATCTTTACTCCCAAAAGAGTCTAGGCCAATGGGGCATCGATGCTGGATCTTTATGTTATAGACCAACTGGTATCGGTACTCAGTGGGTGATGAAGTCAATATAACACAAGTTGCATATACTTCCCAGAACATGACCGAACACCCATTTTAATCTGGCTCCATTTAAATATATTAGACTCGGTGTGGATTTGAGCCCAAAACCTTCAGAGTGGCATTCGAAGTTCTGGCCACTATCACACCTATGGGATTACCTTAAGCTATCTATTAACCAAGCCATCGTGTTTCTGTGGCAACACAGGTAATTTTTTTTAAATATTATTCTTTTAAGATATAGATACAAGCAAATTAACGTTATAGAATCCATTCGGACACTTTCCATCCAGAACAGAGACTCGAAGCCGAATCAGCCTCCTCGCGCGAAAGAAACATAGCATTATATTTTTCTGCGAACTGGACTCAACATACTCTGCAGCCATGTGTACAAGAAATTAAAAACTGGAGATTCAGAAGTCTGTCACGTAGATAGGCACCATAGAATCCTGAATGTGTGCTACAGATATACTCTCTATGTGTAATGGAAATCTCATATTTGGCCGTTTGGCATTCCAGTGCAAACCAAGCTATACGAGACAGTGGAAGACGTGCGCCACAGCACAGACGTCTTAGCGGCATGTGGCCTTCTCACTAGAAAACTAATGGCAGAGAGAATGAAAAGAAGAAGTTCTAATGTTTTCCAATATCTGCTTTGTGCCTCAGTTTAATAGACGATTGGTAGCCGAGCTAGGGCGCCCTGAGTTGTTGGTATTCTGTGATATTGAAATGTCTCAAGCTGCCGATGGCTCTTTTAATTCATCATGTCCCGGTTACACGAATAAAACCTCTGGAGTGACGCCCTGGCACAGATGCACCGCCAGGAATTAGTGTTGTCAACTGACACGAAGAATGATAGAGCGCCAAGTAGGAAACTCAATACAAAGGAAGTCGTAAAGGTTAGTTGCGTATCCTTTACAGGACGTTGCAGAACGAACCCCAACAGCCCCTAGCTGTTGTGTGGTTTTTTAGGCAAATTTACGTCCAGTAGTTTGCCATTGCTTCTAGACGGTCGGCTTTCTTGATACCACTGTCGAAACCAACGCATGGCGCATGGCCGAAGGCTGGGATCGAACCCGGCATCCCGGCATTACGAAGCGAAGCATTCGCATCGACTTAGCCACAGAGCCGACGAAAAGGAAGTAAAGACCCTTTTTACACCACGGCACAGATACACCATTAGGGGTCTGACTAACACGAAGGTTGATAGAACGAGAGGAGGAAACTCAGTGAGAAGGAAGTAAAGCATAGTTCTATCAATCACGTCTTTACACCACTGTCGCATCTGGACACACAGTGTTTGATCCAAAGAATTTGGATCTCAGTATATGATAAGTCCTACGTCTTTTATACTTCCCAGAATATTTTATCCGTTTTCAAGCAGGTCAAACTGGGAGCACAGAGAAATTTATTTTAAAAAACGCATTCTCCCCGAATTTATATTTGAACCAACGACTTTCGGGTCGGGTAGGCAAGAATCAGCTACTATTTTCAGATCACTTAGCCACAGAAACAAAATGAAACATTCCCCCCCCCCCCCCCCCCATTGACTTAGATTTCGTTTTATGTAAGCTAGTTTAATTAGTTTAGCTAGTAAATATTTGTAACCTTTTTTTTTTATTGATAACAATTTCGGATGAGAACATTTGCTTGTTATATGTAAGTCTTTCCTTGCGCTAAGTTTCCTATCTGTAAACTGTATTGATTGATTGATTGATTGATTGATTGATTGATTGATTGATTCATTTATTCATTCATTCATTAAATGCATATCAGCTTGTACTTACATATAACTGATTATATATAAGGAAGGAGGATATATTTTCTGTCATCTGCTGTGAAGAATTTCACTGTGTCATATCTTATTTTGTAAATATGTGTGTGTGTATGTGTCTGTGTGTGTCTGTGTGTGTCTCTGTGTGTGTGTCTCTGTGTGTGTGTGTCTGTGTGTGTCGGTGTGTCTCTGTGTTTGTCTGTGTCTGTGTGTGTTTGTGTGTCTGTGTGTGTCTGTGTGTGTCTGTATGTGTCTGTGTGTGTTTGTGTGTCTGTGTACTTTAAAAAAAAAATAATGTTTCTAATTGGTTTAAGAAAGGAAGTCAAGCCCGTATATTTACATCTTTCCCCCATTTACAAAAAATACAAGTTCTGCAGAGCCTATAAAATACATATATTTGTTTTCTAATGTTGAACACAGTCTAAGGCCTGACAGTTTACCTTGAAACTACAATCAATCAATCAATCAATCTGGTGCCGTCTTCACAATGAAGGTTGGCTGCAATGGATCTCCAACAAACCCTGTCTCCTGTCCTTGATGTACACTCACTCATTCTGCTGTTCGTCCATCTCTTGATGTTATCCTCCCACTTGTAATGCTGTCTGCCTTTTGCACGCCTACCTTGAACCTTTCCCACTAGGATGATCTTTACAATACTGTTATGTCTTTTAATGTGGCCAAAATATTTCACTTGTCTCTTTTTTATTTCACATAGCAACTCTCTTTTCATTCCCAATTTCCTCAGTACCTCTGTATTTGATAGCTTTTGTTTCCATGAAATACGACCTAATCTTCTGTATATCCACATCTCCAAAGAATTGATACGATTTTCCAGTTGTTAGTTCATTGTCCATGTCTCTGTGCCATACAGTAAAGTTGAGAATACATAACATTTGACAATTCTCATTTTTAATGTATTGCTTATTTCTCTTGATGTCAGTAACTTTTGCATGTTGTTGAAAATGTTTTTGGCCATCCCTATTCTTTTCTTGACTTCTGTTTCACTTCTGCCTTCACATGTTATTACTTGTCCAAGATATACAAAATTTTTAACTTGTTCCAATTTCACCCCGTTCACTGTGATATTCATTGTTAGCTGATTATTTTCTTTGCTAAATATCATGGTTTTTGTCTTTTTCAAATTTATATCTAATCCAAATTCTGCACTCCTTCTGTGTATGTGTATCGTATTCTATGTCTTTTTTGGTTTTCATTTGGTTTAATTGTTTCTCGTTTCTCTGCTATCTGAGGACTGTCTGTTCGGCTTGTAATTCTATTTTTTCCAACTCTCTTCGCGAGATTCTCAAGAGAATGTTACCAGCTGTTACGATACATAATATGCAATATTAAGTTACCAAAGGTAATTGACAAGCATAGATATTCCATATCCCATATGAGTTGATCGGTATATTGTTTTTAACTACTACTACAGCTCCTCCTGTTGCTACTACCACCACTATCACCACCACCACCACCACCACAACTACTACTACTACTACTACTACTACTACTACTACTACTACTACTACTACTACTACTACTACTACTACTACTACTACTACTACTACTACTACTACTACTACTACTACTACTACTACTACTACTACTACTACTACTACTACTACTACTACATTTTACAAATATGGATTATTAGTGTGATATTAAGCGGTGCAGAATTTAAATTTGTCTTCTTCAGAAATGAAATGTAGTTTGTTGCCTTGCATGTTTAAGGCTAAATATCATTGTTCTAGATCTTCATAGAATGCACGATAGACATAATTCATAGAACCTCCTTCTTTTCGGATTAGACCCGTGGATGTATCGTAAAAGCCTGGTGACCTCCCTCACAGCAGTTATGTCTGGATTATGATGTGGTTATTTAGTTCTCTATTCATTCGCACATGATCGGTGATATGACTACGCTTCTCAAGGCTCTCTTTTGTGTAAAATCTCCGTCTAGGGTCTAGGACAGTCGGCTCTATGGCTAAGTCGATGCGAACGCTTCAAAATGCCTGGATGCTGGGTTCGATCCCAGCTGCGGGGCATGCGCCTTGCGTTGTTTTCGACAGTGGTATCAAGGGGCCGACCGTCCAGGGGGCAATGGCAAACTACTGAACGTAAATTTGTCTAGAGAAACCACACAACAGCCAGGGGTTGCTGGGTTTGGCTCTGCGACGTCCTGTAAAGGATACACAACTAACCTACAGGGTCTGGGACAGTAAATTCTTGTTAGACAATTTCGAGTCCTGTCATTCTCTTTCGACAGTTTTGTTGGCTTATCCCGCCTGGTGGGTTTTCATGTAACACGTCGATTCGTTGATTTTGAACTGTCGTAATTAGTAAGTAAGTAAATTTACCGAACCAGGACATCACATAGAGGGATAAACACCCGGTGATACAATTTGCCATTATGCGGATGAGTATCACCCGTGGAGAGGTCCCAAAAACCCCGTTCAACAGTAATTGCATCCGACATAGCGAAGTCTCGTTGTAATATTTGTTGTCTGATAACCTTCCATTTTCTTATTTCAGTCCTGATATGGACTTGTCTTAAGAATTACCCATTCATGCTTGTTTCAGTTCCGCTGTTCATGTAACCTTTAGAACAGACATGTACAACTGGCGACCTGCGGGCCGCATGTGGCCCTTTGCAAGCGCACCTGCGGCCAGCACAAAGGATATATTCTGCAATAGTTGTTTTTAAATGACTCCAATTAGCTGTAACGTGCGGCCCTCAGGACGATACAATTTGACCCTCAAAGCCCTGAGTGAACCTTTAGTTTGACATGCCTGCTTTATATCCTGTTGAAGACTGCCAGTAAGCACTAAACTATGATCCTGTTGAAGATTGCCAGTAAGCGCTAAACTATGATCCTGTTGAAGACTGCCAGCAAACGCTAAACTATGATCCTGTTGAAGACTGCCAGCAAACGCTAAACTATGATCCTGTTGAAGACTGCCAGCAAACGCTAAACTTTGATCCTGTTGAAGACTGCCAGTAAGCGCTAAACTATGATCCTGTTAAAGATTGCCAGTAAGCGCTAAACTATGATCCTGTTGAAGATTGCCAGTAAGTGCTAAACTATGATCCTGTTGAAGACTGCCAGTAAGTGCTAAACTATGATCCTGTTGAAGACTGCCAGTAAGTGCTAAACTATGATCCTGTTGAAGACTGCCAGTAAGTGCTAAACTATGATCCTGTTGAAGACTGCCAGTAAACGCTAAACTATGATCCTGTTGAAGACTGCCAGTAAGTGCTAAACTATGATCCTGTTGAAGACTGCCAGTAAGCGCTAAACTATGATCCTGTTGAAGACTGCCAGTAAGTGCTAAACTATGATCCTGTTGAAGACTGCCAGTAAGTGCTAAACTATGATCCTGTTAAAGACTGCCAGTAAGCGCTATAATATGATCCTGTTGAAGACTGCCAGTAAGCGCTAAACTATGATCCTGTTGAAGACTGCCAGTAAGCGCTAAACTATGATCCTGTTGAAGACTGCCAGTAAGTGCTAAACTATGATCCTGTTGAAGACTGCCAGTAAGCGCTAAACTATGATCCTGTTGAAGACTGCAAGCAAACGCTAAACTATGATCCTGTTGAAGACTGCCAGCAAGCGCTAAACTATGTTACCACTAGACTTTATTATTATTATTATTATTATTATTATTAAAATAACAAATTAAAAACACTAATCCTATCTGCTGTAACGGTCCTCCTGTAACTCTCCGTGGATAAACTGGTGTATTCTAGACATTTATTTCAACTGGAAAATCATGATACTGTCGAACTGTAAACATACTAGCAAAAGAAAAGAATATTTTCAGTGAAACTATATTGTTGATTTTATTTTTGTTTTACACATACTCCTTCAAAGCATATATGGTCAATGTAAAAACAAAAAGTCAACATTATAATTATGTTAAACATGTAGTTTGTTTCATATTAGAATAGCGGCATAACATTAAGTTCTATCAACTACATACGGGAATAGCCAGACAAATGTACTAGAAGCTGAAAGTACTAATAAATAAAGGAAGAGATAGCTCGTTAGGCGAGGACTAGAAACAGAAATATTATAGCCCAGACATGAGATCTTTTGTATACAGTCTAGGTAGCAGTAACATGTAAACTAGGCACCAATCAATACCAGTCCTAACTAATCAAAAGAACTGGAACTATGATTACCACATTCACCATCTGTTTATTTCACTGAACTTAAGACAATATTAACCGTTTTTCACAAATAGTACATTAAAAACAACCACCGTGCCAAGAACTTCACTAAAAAAATGAACTTTCTCCGAGTGACGATACACACTTAAACTAAATGAAGGCATTCGTCGTACAAACTAAAATCAAGTTCGCTTCGTCGTAGCCCGCTTACAAAATAAAAACTCTTCCTCATTAAATGCAACAAACATAAAAGAAACGAGTTAAGGCCAACACAATTTTGTTGAAAATAATAATAATAATAATAATAATAATAATAATAATAATAATAATAATAATAATAATAATAATAATAATAATAATAATAATAATAATAATAATAATAATAATAATAATAAAAATAAACCGCATTCACATCGAAGAATATTAATCTGGTATTTCAAGCTGGATTAAGACATCAGTTATTCTGCTAATTGGGACGACAATATTATCTTGTAAGATATCAATCGTATTTAGTTTGTTAGTAGACAGAATATCCTCACTGCACATCAAACAATTCACCCCATAAGTGCTCAGATCCCCTCCTCATTAAATCCAATAGAGTGTAGCTGCTGATGACACCAGTTCTGTATTGGTTTCTTATTCTTCTTTGTCTTCCTGTATAGTACTCTTGTCTGGCCACATCTCTTTTAACAAGACGCAAAAAGCTTAATTGATGTTACTACAGTATAAATCTAAGTGGCTTCTATCCGTTTAGTTTGATGGATACTTGTTGCTTGTAGCAGGTCACGACCGCCTTCGGCTTTTCTGGAGCCCAGCGTATAGCAGGTATACGAAATCATCGCACAAAAGCAGCAATATAAAGACTATATCAACAATAAACTATTCATACAAAGTAATAGATATAAAAAATGTGTTTGGGTCATTTGCAATACTGAGCAATTCAGATTGTAATAGTGACAGGTATCTGATTCTTGGTGGTTAATTGATCATCGCGGTGTTGTAGTTAAACTTCGTCGTATTTCTTCCTGTCCGGCGTGCAGCACACGCATCTAACAATGCACAGACTTCCTGTCTGCAAAACAAAGTACATGTATACACGTTTTATTTCTTGTGTCTGCCAGTTGGAGGATTTATCCCCCCCCCCCCCCCCCCCCCATTCATTCTGTATTTCAAAAAATGTATAAATAATTAAAATGCTCCTAAAGGATAACTTTCATCACACGTTCCCCAGGTTGCTGGTTGTCTTACATGGAGAATCTGAGCTCAGTGCAGAGATTCCGTTGGGGATATACATATCTACACATTCGAAAAACACACGAAATAAACAATAATTGTTTAGTTGATTTCCAGTTTTGAAATTGTGCCTAGACACCGGCCCAATCATCCAGTCATCATCATCATGTAGCAGGTCTTTTGAATATTTGAATAGTGATAATACTTAATACATAACTTCTGACAGTCTACAAGGGAGCATGGTGACAATAGAGCTGTATTGCCCATAACTTCCGACAACAACAAAGGAAATAGAAAAAAGGTGACAATACATCTATACTGTACAGAAATTCTAAGAACGTACAAGAAAGCATGGTGACAATACAGCTATATTGCACAGAACTTCAAACAACATACACGGAAGCATGGTGACAATACAGCTATATTGTACAGAACTTCTAAGAACATACACGGAAGCATGGTGACATTACAGCTATATTGTACAGAACTTCTAAGAACATACACGGAAGCATGGTGACAATACAGCTTTATTGCACAGAACACCTAATAACATACACGGAAGCATGGTGACAATACAGCTTTATTGCACAGACCTCCTAACAACATACACTGAAGCATGGTGACAATACAGCTATATTGCACAGAACTCCTAACAACATACAAGGAAGCATGGTGACAATACAGCTTTATTGCACAGAACTCCTAACAACATACACGGAAGCATGGTGACAATACAGCTTTATTGCACAGAACTCCTAACAACATACACGGAAGCATGGTGACAATACAGCTTTATTGCACAGAACTCCTAACAACATACACAGAAGCATGGTGACAATACAGCTTTATTGCACAGAACTCCTAACAACATACACAGAAGCATGGTGACAATACAGCTATATTGTACAGAACTCCTAACAACATACACGGAAGCATGGTGACAATACAGCTTTATTGCACAGAACTCCTAACAACATACACAGAAGCATGGTGACAATACAGCTATATTGCACAGAACTCCTAACAACATACACGGAAGCATGGTGACAATACAGCTTTATTGCACAGAACTCCTAACAACATACACAGAAGCATGGTGACAATACAGCTATATTGCACAGAACTCCTAACAACATACACGGAAGCATGGTGACAATACAGCTATATTGCACAGAACTTAAAAGAAAGTACAAGAAAGCATGTTAATGAATCTATCTACTGACATACATACATTTTGTAATATACTATTTGTTACCTTACCTCATTTTTTAAATATACAAGCGCAAAATAGATTTCTTAAAAATTTGCAACTAAAAAAAAAAAATTTTGTGTGTTTCTTGGCGTATTCTATGATCCCATTCCCAAACTTAGAAACCAATTAGCATTAGACTGCTTATGTTATCAATACCAAACCGGCTACCTTAATTGCCAGTTACAATTCTTGGCAATAATTTTCAGCATGGGTTGGCTTTGCGCGATTAGGACTCGAACCTATCAGCACCGTACTGACAAGACATGCAAGCGTGCCAGCCACTACGAGAACCACGACCCCCTTAATATAATATGTATCATCATGTGGGAGGTCATTTGCAGACTGTCATTTTCATCACAATCCGTCTGAGAGAAATTCGATCTATCGCCAGATTTCTGTGTGACTGATAGCATGTGCCTATCTCCGCGCTGGTCGGCTTCTGCCTTTCTTTCGTGGCACCATGCCTACTACACTATTCTTTCCAACCCACCGTGGGGCTTAGTATGATGAAAATTTTTTTCAGTTTACGCGACAGGTGATGTTTACTAGCCAGTCTTCCTTGATGTTCAAACCTTTCAGGATGTCCGTACTTCTTTCCTTCTTCGTCCACTGAATTCTGAAAACTGTCTATATCATTTCAGTTCAAAAGCTCATTATTTCTTCCTTGATGTTTAAACCTTTCAGGATGTCCGTACTTCTTTCCTTCTTCGCCCACTGATTTCTGAAAACTGTCTATATCATTTCAGTTCAAAAGCTCATTATTTCTTCCTTGATGTTTAAACCTTTTGGGATGTCAATACTTCTTTCCTTCTTCGCCCACTGATTTCTGAAAACTGTCTATATCATTTCAGTTCAAAAGCTCATTATTTCTTCCTTGATGTTTAAACCTTTCAGAATGTCAGTACTTCATTCCTTCTTCGCCCACTGATTTCTGAAAACTGTCTATATCATTTCAGTTCAAAAGCTCATTATTTCTTCCTTGATGTTTAAACCTTTTAGGATGTCAGTACTTCTTTCCTTCTTCGCCCACTGATTTCTGAAAACTGTCTATATCATTTCAGTTCAAAAGCTCATTATTTCTTCCTTGATGTTTAAACCTTTTAGGATGTCCGTACTTTTTTCCGCCTTCGTCCACTGAATTCTGAAAACTGTCTATATCATTTCAGTTCAAAAGTTCATTATTTCTTCCTTGATGTTCAAACCTTTTAGGATGTCCGTATTTCTTTCAGCCTTCGTCCATTGAATTCTGAAAATCTGTCTATATCATTTCAGCCCAAAGACTCATTATTTCTTCCTTGATGTTCAAACCTTTCAGGATGTCAGTACTTCTTTCCTTCTTCGTCCACTGAATTCTGAAAACTGTCTATATCATTTCAGTTGAAAAGCTCATTATTTCTTCCTTGATGTTCAAACCTTTCAGGATGTCAGTACTTCTTTCCTTTTTCGTCCACTGAATTCTGAAAACCGTCTATATCATTTCAGTTCAAAAGCTCATTATTTCTTCCTTGATGTTCAAACCTTTCAGGATGTCCGTACTTCTTTCCTTCTTCGTCCACTGAATTCTGAAAACTGTCTATATCATTTCAGTTCAAAAGCTCATTATTTCTTCCTTGATGTTCAAACCTTTTAGGATGTCCGTACTTTTTTCCGCCTTCGTCCACTGAATTCTGAAAACTGTCTATATCATTTCAGTTCAAAAGCTCATTATTTCTTCTTTGATGTTCAAACCTTTTAGGATGTCCGTATTTCTTTCAGCCTTCGTCCATTGAATTCTGAAAATCTGTCTATATCATTTCAGCCCAAAGACTCATTCTTTCTTCCTTGATGTTCAAACCTTTCAGGATGTCAGTACTTCTTTCCGCCTTCGTCCATTGAATTCTGAAAACTGTCTATATCATTTCAGCCCAAAGGCTCATTCTTTCTTCCTTGATGGCTGTGAGATAGGCCACGTCTCACATACGTATGTTATACAGAGAATATGCATGCATAATACACAGATAATATAATACGTTGGACTACAAACACAAAATAAGAATATGAGAATTACCTTCAGAGTGTTAGGTAGGCCCACCCAGAATTCATAATTAGGTAATACCTCCAAACCGTTGGCTTTCTTGACCACTTTCCCATAGAGACTACCCACAGTCAGGTACAGAAACACTAGCGAGAAAAAACTGGAAGGAAGGTCAAATCATCAGCTCGGTCAATCTTTAGATTATATATCTATATAGGGGAGAAAGGGAGAGAGAGAGAGAGAGAGAGAGAGAGAGAGAGAGAGAGAGAGAGAGAGAGAGAGAGAGAGAGAGAGAGAGAGAGAGAGAGAGAGAAAGAGAGAGAGAGAGAGAGAGAGAATAAAACCTCTTCAACATGAACTCACTTAAGACGAACAGCTGGCTAACATAATCACAATTTTGGTCCAAGTTTGTATATTTTATTCATTACGCATCTATCAGTCCCCAGGAAAAAATTTGTTTCAAACTCGAACTCTTGATTTTTGTTTGTTCCATCCAGCGACAACCTTTCTTCTCCTCTTCTTCATTTTCTGAACAATTGTTCGTCCTCTTCCTGATCTCCGCATCCGTTTTCTGTTCCGCGAAGGCGCCGGTCAAAAAATTTTGGTAAGTAAAATAAAAGTAAAGAAACTTCTCCCACGCCTTCAAGCGTACTGGGCATATAGGGCTAGACCTATATTTTATAGATAAATTGGCATGGGTGGGTGATGTCGTCTTTAATTCCCGGGACTGAACCTCGTAGCCATTTAAAGCTGGGTGGACCTGGGGGCGAAGGTCATTTTTCTATAGAAAAAGAGGAGGTTGCGTGGTCTCAAGGCATGGTGTCGGCCTTGAGTGCTAGAGGTTCCGTGTTCAATCCCCGGTAAGGGCTGGGATATTTTCACGTTGACTTGGACTTTTAGTAATTCCCCCTGGTCTCTGGGCAGTGAGATCGGACGCCCGTGTGCATTGTTGCGCACGTAAAAAAAATCCCTTGGCGGTTAGAAATCGAAAAGAGTAGCCTATAGTCGCTGCCCGGGCAAAATCTGGAGTTAAAAATCTACCCTAAGTATTTCAGGATCCTATCTGGTGCTACAGAGTCTGTGCACTGTGTGAGCTTCTTCGGACTAAGACTTGAGTTAGAAGAAGAACGGAACACTTTTGGGTTTACCCATGTGTCATGATGTTGATCCGTTGTTCAAAACCTTCAAGAGAGAAAAAAAAAGTTCTGCTGCCTCAGGATCCGAACCCACGACATTTTGATCCGCAGACGAGCGTCTAACGGTTACACCACGGCGGCTCCCACTTGTTTAGTTAACATCCTTTAACACCAACTCGCTTAAGACGAATTCTTATTAAAGCGACCACAGTTTTGTGAAAGTCTCACCGTTACACCACGGCGGCTCCCACTTGTTTAGTTAACATCCTTTAACACCAACTCGCTTAAGACGAATTCATAGTTAAGGCGACCACAGTTTTGTGGGAGTCTAACCGTTACACCACGGCGGCTCCCACTTGTTTAGTTAACATCCTTCAACACCAACTCGCTTAAGACGAATTCATAGTTAAGGCGACCACAGTTTTGTGGGAGTCTCACCGTTACACCACGGCGGCTCCCACTTGTTTAGTTAACATCCTTTAACACCAACTCGCTTAAGACGAATTCATAGTTAAGGCGACCACAGTTTTGTGGGAGTCTAACCGTTACACCACGGCGGCTCCCACTTGTTTAGTTAACATCCTTTAACACCAACTCGCTTAAGACGAATTCATAGTTAAGGCGACCACAGTTTTGTGGGAGTCTAACCGTTACACCACGGCGGCTCCCACTTGTTTAGTTAACATCCTTTAACACCAACTCGCTTAAGACGAATTCTTAGTTAAGGCGACCACAGTTTTGTGGGAGTCTAACCGTTACACCACGGCGGCTCCCACTTGTTTAGTTAACATCCTTCAACACCAACTCGCTTAAGACGAATTCTTAGTTAAGGCGACCACAGTTTTGTGGGAGTCTAACCGTTACACCACGGCGGCTCCCACTTGTTTAGTTAACATCCTTTAACACCAACTCGCTTAAGACGAATTCATAGTTAAGGCGACCACAGTTTTGTTTCCAAGCATGTATGTTTTGTTCATAATGCATCTATCAGTCCCGGGTTAGTGGGAGCACCTATATTTTTACAGACCAATTGGCACTAGGTGGGTAATGTGGTCAGCATTACACCGGCCGTCTTTACTTTCGCAGGACATACATCCTGGTACCCATTTAAGGCTGGGTCGACCAGCGACGTCCCATACTAGGAAAAAAGCCACACAGCCAGCAGTGGGTTTCGATCCCGGTACGTTGGAATTAGGAGTCGGACTTGCAACTCCTAAGCCACGTACGCCGCCGCCCTTGTGTTCGATTCGTATTTTTTTTTTAGTATCCAGAAGCCATGAGTTGTTAACCCTTATGCTCGGTTTTATGGATATCGCAACCTTTCGGCCTTGATTCCATGATAAATACCGTAAATCTGGGAGAAATGTGGCTTATCTGCCTACCCCCGGGCGTGAACCCGGACCACAAGGAGTTCGTCACCCGGTCACCGCGTAGTCCGGTTTAGCCAACTACCCTAGCGAGCCGGGCTTGTTCGATTCGTATAAAGTACATTTCAGTATCTTTGATATTTCTACGGTCCTCTTCTGCGTGGTCGACATCTGGCAATGCTACCGCTTTATCTGAATAACTTCTTGGTTTTCTCAAATATGGTTAGCCCTCTTCCTCATTTCCGCATTCAGTTCCTGTTCTGCAAAAGAGCCAGTCAAATTTATTTAATGTCTAAAACAGAGCAAGTTTGAGAAATTCCACAGTCTTGTAAAATCGGTACCACGGATTTATGTGGGAAGTTAAGACGATAAGGATATGACTAAATTCGTTAGCAATACGTCAACGATGCTAGGTCTTTGAAGATTTCTGATTTCAGGTAAATATGGCGGATAGGTGGGCTACCTCTGTTAAGTTGTGGCAATTTTTTTTTTTTTTTTTGTGTGCTTCTGAAAATTGTTATCCATAGAATGTTTCTCTACATGTATACTGCAAGCATATAGTTCCGTGATACAGAAAAGAGTGCATGGCGCCACACTGCGGTTTTGATTTGTGGCGTGGTTTATATTGTGAAATGCAGACTCATAAAATTGTGAGTGGCCTATTGCCAGAGAACTCGTGGTGCCTTACGCGATTATTTGCTTTTGCGACTACTAATGTTTTGTAACCATGCTTTCATTGACGATGAACTGCATTTCTAGACAATTTGTACAGACACTTCTGATTTTTTCCTTCTGCATTTGATACTTGTGCAAGCTATTGGCTTTGTTAAAACTGCTGTCTGTATAAGTCCCCCCCCCCCCCTCCCCCACTTGGGACGATTGTGGACATTCTATGCGGTTTTCGCTGGCATAGGGACGGAGCAGCTATGGGGTGACCCGTTTGCTTTAAAGTTGCAAACTTCGTTACTTGATTAACTGATTTAATTGTCTTTTCATTTCATAAATCACTAGCAGTCTGGTCTATATAGACCTAGTTACTAAGACCGTCTGTGCTGTCTGAAACAAAATGTAGCACACACACCTGAAAGCTATTTAACGATATCCAATAGCAGTTACTAGCGAGGGGTGGGAAGTGTTACATTCACATATTGTGGGCATCGACTGAGTCTGGGTGGTAAGTTTCATTTCTCATAGCTCTTTCTTTCCAGACAGGTTTTGGAAAAATGCTAATTAATATTACTATGATTATTATTATCGTTACTATTGTGTACAAAGGTGATGATTAAAAAAAAAAAAAAATAAGATAATACATTTGAACCAATGTGAAATGAATGTATAAATAAATACTTGAAAAAAAAAAAAAAAAAAGATAACTTCTGTATGTGGTTAGGGGAGACCGTTGATAACCTGATAAATTATCAAAAAAAAGGGGGGGGGAGGATGGGGTGGGGGGGGGGGTTCTCAAAGGATCTTAACCACCATGTTTCAGGGTCCCTGGCCACCACAAGACCATGTTGGTCCTGCCTTCTCTGGCAGCGGGGATATAGAATGTGCCAATTGGACATAAACTCGTATTTATATAGACATCCCCTTAGCTGATCAGTCGCCGTTGTGTAGCGGATAGACGCTCGACTGCGGATCGGAAGGTCGTGAATTCGCTTCCTGGCGGAGCAGGACTTTTTTTTCACAAGTGACCTTGGCTCCCAGGTAGACCCAGCCTTGAGTGGGTACTAGGTGCAATCCTTGGAAGTAAAGGCGGCCGACGTGATCCTGACCACATCACTCATCTTGTGCCGATTGGTCTATAAAAATATAGGTCTAGCCCTATATGCCCTATACGCCTACAGGTGTGGAAAAGGGTCTGTTACTTACTTACCCCTTAGCGAATCAATGATGTGGTCAACAGTCCATCGTCTGCCTTTACTACCCACGATATTTTCTACTACTCATTATAGGCTGGCTCCACCTGGGAGTCCATGTCAATTATTTAAAAAAAAAAATGCTGCTGGATGTGGATGCAAACGAAAGACCTTCGAAATTCAGGCTGCTGAGCCAAGTTTATTTTCTTGGTAACCAAGCGTACTTACTTTTCCACCGCGGCTCCCGTGCCAGTTAGTTAGTCGAAAAATTATCCTCATTACACATCGAGCCATTCAGTCCGTAAGTACTCAGATCCCCTCTTCAAAAAATCACGCAGCATGTAGCGGCTCCTAAAACCAGGTCAATGTTGGTTTATTTTTCTTCTTTGGCTGCCTGCATAGTGATTGTGCCTCGTCACACCCCTTTGAACTTGTTATTCTTGCAATCTGGTCATTGTAGCAGATTCACAATCACTTTTTTTTTTTTTTGAAGCAAACCATGTTCACTTTATTATTTCTAAACTGGGTACATGTCACGGCTGCATGGCTCAGAAGGTCTTGGAAATCACTCCATCAAGCTTTGCCAACCTGACCAGTGAATCGTCAGACTCTCCCATTCTTCTGATTGCACCACAGATAGCATACGTCTTGTGGGCCCCTGTCATTCTGCCTGTGGTTTCATCAACCTCTGCTATGTTGATCTGAATAGATGCATGATCCTTAGCACCAATAATGCGATTGCTGGCAGAGCATTTGCGGGGGATGAAAAGATCAACGAACTCTCCTGCGTCGTTCTGCATTGTTGAATTTGTTCAGATTCTCGTTGCTGGAGTCGCTCGACGGATTCACAATCACTTGGTACTTGCAAAAGTCTTACTTTTCGTAGAGCAATAATTATATCTGTCTGGTCCATAGCCCATCCACCCTTCCCAGCAGCCTTACCTGCAAGCCTATTTGTTTGATCATTTCCTTGCACGGCTGCGTGTCCTGGCCAGAAACTTCTCCTTCTTCGAGGTCACCAGCTGTAAACTCTGGCCGAAAGTTCTGGTTGTTCATCCACTTCTGGACTGCAGTCCTGTTCCAAAACCTGAGTGTTGCGTGTGCATCCGTTTTACAGATCTTACCTATTTGTGTGCAGACTGCTGGTTCCTTGCTTCTCAGGCAGACACACTCTGACTTCGAAGGAAGCTCCCAATTAGTCGACTCTTACGACATGCTTTTGGTTAGGCAGTGGGTCTATTCTCGTTTTCCCTATCATAGGGCCCTGGAACCCACACGGGAAAATGAAAATGAAACTCATCATTGTCAGCCCCAGCAACCTCAAAGACAACAGACAATGTCTTCGGGTCTAGCAACTCTCTATCTGGCCTCTTCTGGCCTCTGAGCCAATACTTACACAATAGTAACAACTCTCTATCTGGCCTCTGAGCCAATACTTACACAATAATAACAACTCTCTATCTGGCCTCTGAGCCAATACTTACACAATAATAACAACAGTCCCTCCACCGATAGACGATGATGATGATGGTAGTGTTGATTTGATACACGAGTTTTTACACGCACATGCAGATTCAACTTTAAATTGCTGCAACGAAATATAGGGCAATTTGTTGGTACACTGCGTACATACGTATACACAGGTAACTGTAATTTAAATGTGCCAAAATAATTAATAGAAGTCATTAGTGTTATTCTAGGATAAGTACACACATTTAAATATTTAGATATGCGGATAACCTCACACTGAAGTTGTACCACAGAGAAAAAGTACAGAACATGACAGACAAAAACTAACTTTAATATAATGAAGAACATCTAAAGAAAAAAAAATGCATGTCACTGGAGCTTAGGGAAAAAAAGAACAGGAAAACTGTAACGTGTTGTGACCACAGGTAAGATACGTGGGAAAAGAGATATAGGAATACAAGACGAAAAGATTCTTGACAACATTTTGTCAATCCATGGAATGAATGGAGGAGTGTCAGCACGTGCACATGTGTATGTTGTTAAATAAAGCACATGTTGTAAAAGATAACTATAGGTGTTGGGGCGGAAGATGTAGAGCAAGGAGGAGGAGGAGAATAATAATAATAATAATAATAATAATAATAATAATAATAATAAAAATAATAATAATAATAATAATAATAAGAAGAAGAAGAAGAAGAAGAAAAAGAAGAAAAAAAAAGAAGAAGAAAAAGAAGAAGAAGAAGAAGAAGAAGAAGAAGAAGAAGAAGAAGAAGAAGAAGAAGAAGAAGAAGAAGAAGAAGAAGAAGAAGAAGAAAAAGAAGAAGAAGAAGAAGAAGAAGAAGAAGAAGAAGAAGAAGAAGAAGAAGAAGAAGAAGAAGAAGAAGAAGAAAAAAGAAGAAGAGAAAGAAGAAGAAGAAGAAGAAGAAAGAAGAGAAAGAAGAAGAAGAAGAAGAAGAAGAAGAAGAAGAAGAAGAAGAAGAAGAAGAAGAAGAAGAAGAAGAAGAAGAAGAAGAAGAAGAAGAAGAAGAAGAAGAAGAAGAAGAAGAAAAAAGAAGAGAAAGAAGAAGAAGAAGACAAAGAAGAAGAAGAAGAAGAAGAAGAAGAAGAAGAAGAAGAAGAAGAAGAAGAAGAAGAAGAAGAAGAAGAAGAAGAAGAAGAAGAAGAAGAAGAAGAAGAAGAAGAAGAAGAAGAAGAAGAAGAAGAAGAAGAAGAAGAAGAAGAAGAAGAAGAAGAAGAAGAAAAAGAAGAAGAAGAAAGGAGTAGTTAAAGTAACAAAATGAGCAGGGTGAGCTAACATATGGAATATAAATAATATATGTAGAAGACAAAAAACGCATGAGTTGCAAAGTACCGAATAAGTAAATACGAACGTTGTGTACTCACATAAACGGGAGGACTACTTTTAGTAAGACCATATGCCGTGAAAATTGGGGGAACTTGATTTTCCACACACAGGTAATCAACAATCGCCTGGCTGCAATCAAACATGAATGACAATGTGATGTCACTGATTTATTCTATCGTTGTCTGAGGTGATATGATGCGATTGACTGCTGTGTTTATGACAGATGTCAGGGTGCAATAGATGTAATAGTGATGATAGCTACAGAAGGTGCAATAGATGTTATAGGGATGATAGCTACAGAGGGTGCAATAGATGTTATAGGGATGATAGCTACAGAGTGTGTAATAGATTTAATAAGGATGATAGCTACAGAAGGTATAATAGATGTTATAGGGATAATAGCTACAGAGGGTGCAATAGATGTTATAGGGATGATAGCTACAGAGTGTGTAATATATTTAATCTGGATAATAGCTACAGAGGGTATAATAGATGTTATAGTTATGATAGCTACAGAGGGTATAATAGATGTTATAGGGATGATAGCTTCAGAGGGTGCAATAGATGTTATAGGGATGATAGCTACAGAGTGTGTAATATATTTAATATGGATACTAGCTACAGAGGGTATAATAGATGTTATAGGGATGATAGCTACATAGTATATGATAGATGTAATAGGGATGGTAACTACAGAGTGTGTGACAACTCACACAAGAGCATCCTTTCCAATGTATGTAAGAGTTACACTGGTGCTGTCATAACTTATGCGGACATCTTTCTGGTCAACAAGCGACGTGACGGTGCCATTAGGTGACTGGAGCTTGCATATCTGAAAAAAACATACACACAAATTCATGTGGATGCATGGATACATATATACAAACTTACACACTTTCGTACGTACGTACACTAGACAGACAGACAGACAGACAGACAGACAGACAGACAGACAGACAGACAGACAGACAGACAGACAGACAGACAGACAGACAGACAGACAGACAGACAGACAGACAGACAGACAGACAGACAGACAGACAGACAGACAGACAGACAGACAGACAGACAGACAGACAGACAGACAGACAGACAGACAGACAGACAGACAGACAGACAGACAGACAGACAGACAGACAGATGATAAATATTAGTCATATATGTAGTCAGGACTCTACCGCATAAGAAATTAGTGGGGTGCAGCTGGTGCATTGGTTTATCCAACAAAGGCAGCAGTGACTTGGATCCTTTCGGATAACCATTTTGTCAACACCTCAACGTCAAATGTAAGTCTATGTTCAGAAATTATGAGCAGTTCCTGGGGATACGATTTGATGGAAGCCTCCTTGCTTATACTGCGCACATAAACCATGTAATTGGGAAAAAAAAGTCAAGCGGGGTTTTGCTGCAGTGAGGGTGATGGCTGCAGCAAACTGTGATCAGCATCATTTATGTCTTTTATATCAGGGCCTGGTTCTTGCTGTCTTTGAGTATGCGATGGCGATTCTGACTCTTAGCCATAAGCAGATGGAGAGAATGGAAAGGATGGACGAGGCTATGCACATTATACTTGGATGTACAAGAGATATAGCATTCAGGGCGATGGGCTACCTCCTCGATTTTCCAACCACGGAGTACAGAATTCAAATTTGCCGAACAGGTGCTTATCTCAAAGATTCACGACACCAGCTGAATGGTGAAATTAAGAAGAGAAAAGACAGCAGGTAAAAATGTGGAAAATAGTGGATGGGCCAAGCCGAGGACGTTATTCAGCAGGTGTGTTCACCTGAGGATATGGAATCTGGTGAGGAAAGGGTGCAAATGCCAAAGGAGCGCTGTACAACTCTTTCTGTTTGCATCCGACTAGACAGAAAATGCAGACATGAACGTCCAGCCGCTGTTGATGCAGAAGGCCAGGCTCTGATTTTCGAGAATTCTCTGCAGCGGGATGCTGTCGTATACACAGATGGCTGTGTAATTCGCCATATGAGAAGCGCTTGGGCTTTTACGGTTTAGGTTGGAGTTAGAATTGTGAAGCAAGATTCTGGAGCTGTTGCCTTGACCACAAGTAGTCTGTTTATGGAGGTCATAGCAGTCACCAAAGCAATAGCATGGCTGGAGACACAGACCTTTTCCCGCGCCTGCTTTCTAAGTGACTCAATGAGTTTGCTCAGGAAGACAGAGAAGAGCTATGTTCGAAGTCAGTGGTTGGAGTCTCTAGAGCGGTCCAGTTTGACACAAATCAGTTTCATATTTGTACAAGGGTACGTAGGTGTGCAAGGAAATGAGCAAGCTGATCGGGTTGCAGGTAAATCTACTGTGGAGGGCAGCGGAGCAATGGACCATGTTGATATTCTGAATGCTCTACTAGAAGTAAGATGTTTGCGAAAACCAAGTGATGATTGTGAATCTGCAACCATGATCAGACGGCAAGAACAAGATGTTAAGAAGGGTGTGGCCAGACACGAGTGCTATGCAGGAAGCTAAAGAAGAATAAGAAAATCATACAGAACTGGTGTCGCGAGACGCTACACGCTGAGGTATTTACAAAGGATGGAATTCGAGCACTTATGGACTGAATGGTTCGATATGCAATGAGGATAATCTGAAGACTAACTAACTAACTAACTAACTAACTAACTAACTAACTAACTAACTAACTAACTAACTAACTAACTAACTAACTAACTAACTAACTAACTAACTAACTAACTAACTAACTAACTAACTAACTAACTAACTAACTAACTAACTAACTAACTAACTAACTAACTAACTAACTAACTAACTAACTAACTAACTAACTAACTAACTAACTAACTAACTAACTAACTAACTAACTAACTAACTAACTAACTAACTAACTAACTAACTAACTAACTAACTAACTAACTAACTAACTAAATAACTAACTAACTAACTAACTAACTAACTAGCTAACTAACTAACTAACTAACTAACTAACTAACTAACTAACTAACTAACTAACTAACTAACTAACTAACTAACTAACTAACTAACTAACTAACTAACTAACTAACTAGCTAGCTAGGTAACTAACTAACTAACTAATCAACTAACTAACTAACTAACTAACTAACTAACTAACTAACTAACTAACTAACTAAAACTAACTAACTAGATAACTAACTAACTAACTATCCATATAAGTACCGTACCGAGCTGTCTGTACAGTTGCCTTCACTGAAAGTATAGCACGGGTTGTATGAATAGAAACTGCCATCCGTTGCCTGGTGATCTTTAAAGCTGGAATATATAGTCGTACTTTAGTATCCATGTTACACTGACGCGATCGAACATAAGTAATACACACACACACACACACACACACACACACACACACATATATATATATATATATATATATATATATATATATATATATATATATATATATATATATATACACACACACACATAGGACTCCCATTCGACTTCTCCACTCCGCTCTATGGCATGCGACTTTTTCATGATTTCTGACATCGTGTTCAGCCCAATATTTTCTTTTTTTTTTTTTTGGGCTTTTCGTAATAATGTTCTTCCTAATGTTTTCTTTAGACTTCCTCTTTTTTTTTCAGACCTGTTATCACTCTTTGCTCAATTCGTCTCAGAGTGTGTCCAATTTATCTCCACCTTCTTCGTTTTGGTGCAATCGATAAATTTTTTCCCCCAGACATATCTCCTATCTCCTTTTTTAAAATTTCTCCTATTTTATGCTCACGATTTTTCTCAGACATTTATTTTTTTAATGCAGCTATCTTTGTGTATGTATATATATATATATATATATATATATATATATATATATATATATATATATATATATATATATATATATATATATATGTGGCATTGTGGTGCTGGGGTGTCTGTGGATTACATCCCTCCTCGGACAGCAGCCAGAAGTGCCCTGTACCAGTTCTAAAGGAAATATGGGTTGTGTTTCTGCCGTTCCCTTTAACACGTAGCTAAGGTGGGGCTCACAGTGTGCTCATTCCCCGCCACCAGATTGCCTGCAGGTTTCGCTGAGCTCTTCTTGGCTCTAAGCATGGCCTAAGCATGAGTAGTTGGGGCAACTGGATCATCACGTCCTGAGTCCCTGTGCCTTCACGATAATTTCCGGTATTCAGGGTGTTAGCATACTTGTTTCCACTCCTTAGACTGTTCAGCACCCCTCCGGCTCCTTCCTTGCCACAGGGGGCAGTACGGTGTGGTGCACCGGTGTTTTTTTAAATCGAGGTTTGCTCCTCTAGATCCATTGTGTTTTGCCTGGGGATTTGCACCCCCAGTTACCAGGACTGCCTCGGGGAGGGTGTGGCTCTTCGCCACGCACAATGGTCTTGGGGTAAGAGAGGTTATGCTAGGTCACAGAGTCTCCACCTACACTGTTACACAGGACCCACCTATCTCTCAGTTGACCTGATCTGACCATCTACTCATCCGTCTTAGCAGACGTAAGTTACCCCAAGTCCTGGACGACATAGGAAGTGACCACAGGCCAATGCTTACAACTGTAAGCACCCCCGCTAAATCATGCTTTAAGCAGAGAACCCGTTGGCATTTTCGAAAAGCAACCTGGAAACTGTTTAGGAAACATCTGACTGCCTCCTGGGAAGAATTGACAACAGCTGTGTGGAAACGTTTTGTGAAGATCTAACAGAAGCAATCATGAAAGCAGCGTGGAAAGCCATCCCAAGGGGCAGCCGGAAGACATATAAACCTTTCTGGAATAAGGAAATTCAAAAAAACTATATCTTTAAGGAATAAAGCAAGAATTTTACTCTAGAGTAAAGCTTGCAGTTAATAAGGCTAAAAGAGATAAATGGACATAAACTTGTTACAGCTTAGACTAAGAATGGAAATAAAGCATGGATTTTAGTTAAAAACCTCTCCGGAGAAAGTAGAAGGGTGAACCCAAAACCAGTGACAGATGGGAGTAAGACAATCACTGAAGACAAGAAGAAAGCTGAACATTTCAATCATTACTTTGCCTCTGTTAACAGAGCAGGCAAACGCACAGAATGGGATAGAATACAGCTATCTCAGTTAAGGAAACAAGAGAGAGCTTCAATAGCCAACGACTCCCTTTTTGAAGATGAGTTTAGCCTGGATGAATTAGAACAAGCCCTGAAGAAATTAAAACCTAGAAAATCCCCAGATCCAGATAAGATTCACAATAAAATGCTGCTACGTCTTGGCCGGTCTGGGAGAGAAGTAGTTCACAGGCTAATTAATAAGACATGGAGATCAGGCAAACTTCCAAAGGCATTGAGAAATCCATACATCGTCCCCATACTTAAAACAAATAAGCCTCCAGACGACTCAAAGAGCTAGCGCCCGATATCCTTAACATCATGCTTGGGCAAAGTTGCAGAAAAAATGATAAACAGGCGTTTGTATTGGTTCCTTGAGTGCTCTGGTGCTCTATGCCATGAACAGGCAGGCTTTAGAACCAACAGCTGTACAGAGGACCAACTGTTCAGATTGACACACAGAATTCATGACGGCTTCCAGAATAAGAAGCATACAGTGGCCATCTTTGTTGACTTTTAGCAAACCTATGACAGAGTATGGAGGAAAGGCCTCCTGATGAAGATGATGAGCATAGGAATACATGGCAGGTTGTATAACTGGGTTACATATTTTCTGAAAGATAGAACAATCCAGACTAATATACACAACGCAATCTCATCTAAAGAAGTCTTGAAGGAGGGCTTGCCACAAGGCTCATCATTGAGCTGTACACTGTTTCTAAACTTTATCAATGACTTGCCAGAACAAATCAAGGCCGAAAAAGCCGTGTACGCTGATGATCTAGCAATACGGCAGAGTCATGAAATTATAGAAAGTGGAGCCCAAAGACTTAATCGAGACCTTAGAAGACTGCACGAGTACTGCCAAAGATGGAAACTCAAGGTTATCTATACAAAGACAGTCTACACAATCTTTACCAAAAGCCATCAAGTAGCAAGGAAGAATATTAACCTAAGGTTGGACTAGCACCAAGTGATGAAAGAAGAGCACCCTACATATCTTGAAGTCACACTTGACCAGCACCTGAGCCTCAAGAATCATATTGAAAACATAAGGAGTAAGGCATTGAGGTGGTTGCAGTTATTGAAGAGACTTGCAGGTACATCATGTGGATCAGACAAAGAAACGCTGAGGGGCTTATATCTTAGATATGTGATAGAGTATAACAACTCGCTGCTTGCAACCTGCTCCAAGACAAACCTGAGTCTCTTGACAGAGTACAAAATAATGCCCTCCGATTAATCAGCGGAGCTATGCGGTCTACTCCAACTGCTGTATGTGAAATTCATACAAATGTGGAACCCCTTGGGTTGCGGAGAGAAAAAGCCACTTTAGAAATTTATGAAACATGTAGTAGAAAGAATCGTAACCATCCTAATAGACACCTTATAGAAAGTTGGGAATACAAACAAAGAACAAAACACAAATCTGTTTTACACTGTGTACATGAGGTACATGACAGGTACCACCTCCCAGAAAGACGTCAGGGCACTTAGAATGTTGCAAGAAACGTACCACCACATGCTCGCTTTAAAGCTCCAGTAGTCAGGTTGAAATTGGTAGACGAAGAAACTAAACAGTCCGATCCAATCACCCTTATGAACTCATCACTAAAGACCATTGATTCTTACCCCGAAGAATGGATGCATGCTTATATTGATGGATCTGCATTCAAAGCCACCATTAAAGCAGGTTACGGAATCTACATAGGTTACCCTGATGGATCTATTGAAGAGATATGTGATACATGCGGGGAATTCTGCTCAAATTATGCAGCTGAAAAATCGCACTGGAAACAACAGTATACCACCTAAAGACTTTAATGGCTGTTTATCCTTCAAAGGCCCAAAATATTGTCATCTTCACCGATTCAATGTCTGCTCTTCAAGCTCTGGAGATCAGTGAACGCTGCAGAACTGACATAGCTAAGATAATTCTAGATGCTGATGAGCTCATTACCTCATGCAACATCAGAATAGTGATGCAGTGGATTTCAGGCCACTCCGGCACACCAGGTAATGACAGCTGACAGACTCGCAAAGAAAAGAGCAACACATGAACAACCACCTACAACGACAACCCTACAGACAGCAAAAACACTGATAAGAGCTATAAACAAAGAGACTTGGTTGAACAGATGGGCCATGGGAGATACTGGAAGAGAGGTTTATAGTCATATGTCTGGCCCTGATCCTAATGACAGCATTAACCATTCAACAAGAAGGGACCAGGCCACCATCTTCTGACTCAGAACACAACATACTCCACTCAGTGGACACCTAAGCAGAATACAGCCACAACATCCCCCAGAGTGCCTGCTATGTAACTACCCTACGAAACTGTTGACCATCATCTCTTTGAGTGCCAAAAACTCAACGAGACTAGAAGAATGCTAATCCCTCCGAGACCAGACAGGTGGAACACCTTGTACGGAGGAAAAGAACAGCTTGTGAAAACATGTAAATTCCACTACATGGCATTGGGCCAACGGGCGAAAGCTCATGCGCCGCTGGATCAATAATAACAACAACAATATATATATATATATATATATATATATATATATATATATATATATATATATATATATATATATATATATATATATATATATATGCGTGTGTGTACATGCGTGTATGTTTGTGTTTGTTTGTGGTCAGTACTATACTTTATGGGGTGATGAGTTCCCCAATAACTTTTTTAAGGGAACAAACAGAGCCCCCCCCCCCCCCCCAAGCCCAGACCTCATCCCGATTTATTCCTTGGAGAATATGCCAAGGGATAAGTGGCCTCCTTAGCCGTGTATAAACATTCTCTTGTTATTTGTTCACACATCTCATATTATGTCAAATTTCTTCTTATATTTATAAACCAGTCAGAACGTTTTTATTGTGCGCACTTAGGTTTAGGTTTAGACAACGTATTAACATCATGGCACAAGGGTAGTAACTCATTACTGCTCCGTTCTACATCTCACTCATGCCAGAGTCCAAAGAATCTCAGCGCGGTGCACGAGCTCCGGAGCACTGGCAAGGATCCTGAAATATTTTAGGCAGATTTGAAACTCTAAATTTTGCTCGGGCATCGCCGTTAGGTTTCTCTTTTCGATTTCCAACTGCCAAGGGATTTTTTTTAATGTGCGCAACAATACACACGGGTGTCCGATTTTATTACCCAGAGACGAGGAGAAATTACTAGAAATCCACGTGAAAAAATTCCAGCCATCACCGGGGCTTGAATCCGGCACCTCCAGCACTTGAGGCGGACGCCATTCACCGAGACCACGCAGCTTCCTGTACGCACTTAAAGACAGCTTAGGACCCTTAAGCCCCCAGACCTCTTGACAATTATAAGGGTGCCACCCCGTCCCCTCCCCACCTCCCCAGTGATTTCATTCTGGTGTCGCCCTTGACAAGGACTATGTCGTATGTTATCTACATCTACATTTGTTATTTCAAAGTAGTCTTGCAGCAGTAACGTGGCGTCCGTATCAAGTATTCACTGAATCTAACACAGTTTGATCTTCTCTAGGTTTAACATAATGATGTCTTCACTAGATTTAACACGGTGATGTCCTCACTAGGTTTAACACGGTGATGTCTTCACTAGGTTCACCACAATGATGTCTTCATTAGGTTTAACACGGTGATGTCTTCACTAGGTTTAACACGGTGATGTCTTCACTGGGTTTAACACAGTGATGTCTTCACTAGGTTTAACACGGTGATGTCTTCACTAGGTTTAACATAATGATGTCTTCACTAGGTTTAACACGGAGATGTGTTCACTAGATTTACCTTAATGATTTCTTCACTAGGTTCAATACATGATGTCTTCAAAATATTTAACACAATAAAGTTTTGGCTAGGCTTAACACAAGAATATCTTCGCTATGTTTAACACAGCGATTACTTCACTACGTCTAGTACGGTAATGTATGTATGTATTTAAGTTGTACCCCACCAGGACATCACACAGAACGATAAACATCCGGTGACACAAAGTGCCACTATGCGGATAAGGATCACCCGTGGAAATGTCCCAACAACCCCGTTAAGCCGTTAGGCTATATTTATGGCCCGTCTATATTTAAGGTCCCCGGCATAAGTCAGGGGCGGGGCTTCAAATAACGAAAAATTGCATCCCACATGGGGACGGCATAGTAATATGGTAATGCTTTACTGTGTTATTTATACACAGAAGATTGTTTCCTCAATAGGCTGGCGCCCATTCTAGGCGATCTTACAAGCAGTGACATATATGTCAGTGTATTTTTGGTAACTTACAGTGGAGGCACCATGGTGCTGTTTAGAAGGGGTCTCAAACTGATGACTGCCCCCTCTACGTCATCAAACTTGCAGCTACACTCGTCAATCTGGATACAGCTGAGAGCTATTGCTTGTAACGTCACCGACAAGATTAACGAAATCACAGCTAGAGTCAGCTTGTATCCCCCTGTTGTCATCTCCGATATAATATGGTGAAAGATATTCAACACAAACACTTCTGCAGAAATTATGCTGAGAAATATTAAAAATTCTACGAGTCACAACAGTTGAACTAAAATAACGCAGATTCGAACCGTTAGCTTTAATATAAAACAGCACAGCTTAGGTAATGTTCTTGTTTTTTTTTTCGTGTTAACTAATAATATAGATATGAACCAAATCAGTTTAAACAATAAATAAATTTAAAAAAAACTGGTTGCAGTCTACAAATATTGTTTACAGGGCCTTGTAATGTAGTTCATAATCATAAATTGTAAAAATAGTATTATTTGTTATTAGAAATGAAACAATTTGGTTAGTTTACAAACTGCAAGAAAGAAACAGATGACTGTTTCTTAAAAAACGCCCCACATTTCCTAGCACAAGTGGCGATAACTAATTAAGTGTGTTAAATATTTCGCACGATAACAGCCTCCGTAATGAACGTGCTTTGTGATTTGCTTGGGTAAATCTGCTTCACTACAAGCCCATGTATTTTAAGTCGTATACCAGAGGCCAGGGCGCTTATCTACATTCAACACACTTAGTTTATCTCTACTGTCCCATACTTTTTGTATTATACGGCTCTATCAGCGTGAAGGAAAACAGTTATTTGTAATAACTGGCTTTCGGTCCCAGGTCGGCCCACTCTAAAATGAGTACCAGAAAATGTCACGAGAAGTAAAAGCGGCTGTATCACCCAGCGAATGCCATTTAGTCTATAAGTCTTGGTCTCGCACTATATGCACCAATGTCGAGTGCAGCAATGCCGAGGCGTGCATGTAACGACTGTAATCTCTGCTTGTAATTTCCATTGCTGAAGAACATGCAGTATTTTACTATTTATTATTGTTGTTTACTATTTATAAGAAATACACCACTCGGTTTATCGATTTTCCCCCATTTGTGAGGGGAAAAGGTGGTGGTGGTGGGGGGGGGGGGGTGGGTGCGGGGGGCTGGGTGGACCAACTATTTTACTAACAAGCATGTAGTAAAAATCGACTTATTAGGGCTGTGTCTTTCGAACTAGCTTATCTGCGTGAGAGACGAGGAACCAATAGTCTGCATACAAATGAGCCATACATGTAAAACAAATGTGCATGCAAAACTCGAGTTCTGGAATAATCCTAAAACCAGAAATTTCCATCTGTTTACAGCCGATAAACGATAAAGAGAAGAATAGTGTATTTTGTTTCTAACCGAATGTCTTGTGCATATGTAAAATAATGGAACCATTCCCACGCCATCAAGCGCATTGGGCATATAGTAAGCTTCGTATTCTTTACAGGATGCTACGAATAGTCGTCCCCCTGTGGGATACCATTTTTTGTAATTTAAAGCCCCACCATCGCTTCTGCCGGGGTCCCTGAATATAGCCGAGGCATAGATATGGCCTAGCCATAAATATGGCCTAACGGCTTAAAGGGGTTTCTGGGACCTCTCCACGGGTGATCTTCGTCCGCATGGTAGCACTTTGTGTCATCAGGTGTTTATCGCTTGTGTGATGTCCTTGTGGGGTAAAAAGTCAGTCAGTCTTTACAGGACGTTGCAGAAAAAAAAAAAAAACACTCCACGATTCTTAGGCTGCTATAGTTTTTCTGGGCAAGTTTTACGATCAGTAGTTTGCCATTGCTTTGAAACGGTCGGCTCTCGATACCACTGTCGAAACCAACGCAAAACAGTCTGCTCCTGCGTGTTCGCATCGCCTAAGCCACAGGCGCGGACACGGGCATATAGATGGTTGTTGCGTATCCTTTACAGGACGTTGCAGAACCTACCCAAACAGCCTCTGGCTGTTGTGTGGTTTTTTTTTAAAGGCAAATTTACGTCCAGTAGTTTGCCATTTCTTCTGGACGGTCGGCTTTCGGGGCATATAGTACTAGATCTATTTTTTACAGACCAGTCGGCACTCGGTGTCTGTCTGTCTGTCTGTCTGTCTGTCTGTCTGTCTGTCTGTCTGTCTGTCTGTCTGTCTGCCTGCCTGCCTGCCTGCCTGCCTGCCTGCCTGCCTGCCTGCCTGCCTGTCTGTCTGTCTGTCTGTCTGTCTGTCTGTCTGTCTGTCTGTCTGTCTGTCTGTCTGTCTGTCTGTCTGTCTGTCTGTCTGTCTGTCTGTCTGTCTGTCTGTCTGTCTGTCTGTCTGTCTGAGGTTTGAGGTTTGAACAACAGATCAACATAATGGCACATGAGTAGTAACCTATAAGTGCTCCCTTCTTCTTTCAACTCAAGTCTCAGTCCGAAGAAGCTCAACGCAGTACACACGCTCTGTAGCACCGGCGAGGATCTTGAAAAATATTGGGTAGATTTCTAACTCAAAACTTTGCCCGAGCAGCGTCGTTAGGTTACACTTTTCGATTTCTAACTGCCAAGGGATTTTTTTTACGTGCGCAACAATACACACGGGCGTCCGAACTTAATACCCAGAGACAAGAGGGAATAACTAGAAGTCCACGTCCACGTGAAAAATTCCCTGCCCTTACCTAGGATTGAACCCGGCACCTCTAGCACTCGAGGCGGACACCGTGCCTCGAGACCATCTATCTATCTATCTATCTATCTATCTATCTATCTATCTATCTATCTATCTATCTATCTATCTATCTATCTATCTATCTATCTATCTATCTATCTATCTATCTATCTATCTATCTATCTATCTATCTATCTATCTATCTATCTATCTATCTATCTATCTATCTATCTATCTATCTATCTATCTATCTATCTATCTATCTATCTATCTATCTATCTATCTATCTGTCTGTCTGTCTGTCTGTCTGTCTGTCTGTCTGTCTGTCTGTCTGTCTGTCTGTCTGTCTGTCTGTCTGTCTGTCTGTCTGTCTGTCTGTCTGTCTGTCTGTCTGTCTGTCTGTCTGTCTGTCTGTCTGTGTACGTGCGCATGTGCCTGCGTCTGTCTGTAAACCCTACTAAAGCCTACTCTTCATCTCCTCTTACAACATGCCTGGTTGGGTGCAGTATTACTAAATCTTTGCTTTCCTGTCGTAACAACTCGGGAGATTGGCTATCTTGTGTTCTTCTATTTTCTGCCGGATCGAATCTTCTGGTCTGCCCGAAAAAAAAAAAAAAAAACTACAAGCACTCTAGCAAACAGCCCGTGCTGACACAAACAGTCTGGTTATCAACCTTCTTCCTGTCTGGAAGTTCTCACTTTTAGCTTCATTCTACTTTCATAAGTGAATATAACATGTGCGTCCATGTTTTATCTTTCTCTCATCGTATATTTGCTTTTCCAGTCACTCTTCTAGCTTCTATGAAGCTGCTTCCTCCGTATTGAAATCTATTATTTGAGGAGAGATGAAAGGAAGATTGCTCGGTTTTGTTTCATTCTAGAACCATCTTCAGAACACTAAGTATTCCGACTTCCTCCTTTTAATAGGATGCAGTTACACCCATTAAGGATTCATTATCAGCATCACGTGTCGTCCAGATGGCGTTGATTTCCCCCCACAGTTCTCACAACTTTTTAACGAAATAGCAAGAGATTTCGATGCTTTATTAATATTTTACCCCCAGATGACGTCACAGGACAGTTCATCATTTTAGAGGCTGGTAAGCTTGGGTTTCCCGGCTTTCTGATGCTTTTAACGACCCCAAAACATCTAGATCTGGCCCTAACCCAACCCACCTACGTCCCACGAGAGAGTGCAGCCTAGGTCCCAAGATTGCATGCAGCCTATCTACCACCCCGTGAAATATTAGACTATCCCGTGACCTGTGTATTTCCTGTTTGAGGTAGGATAAAGCACAGAGATTTCATTCCTAGAGAATATATAACTGCTGTTATCTTTCTTACGTGATGCTGTACTTATAAAACACACACACACACGCACACACACACACACACACATATAAATATATATATATATATATATATATATATATATATATATATATATATATATATATATATATATATATATATATACACACACAACATATCAGTGCAAGTAGAAAGCGCTATTATAGCATTTATCAATCGAGTACAATGGTTTTCAGCATTTTTCAGGTGGCGTCCCACACTCCTTGAATATATGACACGACCTCCACGCCCCATCCCTAACAAATTACCACAATAGAAACAATCACCACCAACTGGTAATTTAGTGTAAAAATATCATTGTGATGACTGACACTGATCTGTCTTGATGTTATCTGCTATTTTTGTTCTGATATTGCGCCTTTACTGCACAAGGCAGAAAAGAATTCAGGTTAAGGGTAGCAAAACAGATTACACTAGTCAACAACCAAAATGCATAACAGTTGAAAGTAACTAATCTTAACTAATTTTGGTGTGCTGAAAACGAAATGACTTAGGGCAATATATATATATATATATATATATATATATATATATATATATATATATATATATATATATATATATATATATATGTGTGTGTGTGTGTGTGTGTGTGTGGTTAGGTTTACGTTAGTCTCCCCAAACAAAGTAGGTCACGTTCATTCATAAGTGTGTTAGGCAGGTCTATTTTTCTGCAGGTTACGGGTGTGTCGCTCTGTTGTTTGCTTTCTGGGTTGTCTTGCATTTACGCTTTTATTCCTAGAAAGAGAATGCTGGTTGCTGCACTCTCTAGGAGGGTTATGTTAGACCCAGTTTGTCAATGTTTTAGGAGTGTTAAAAGCGGTGGCGTTCTGAAAAATACAACACGCGAAATCAATGGCATTGCGGAACACCCCCGTAACCCTGTGCCAAGGTCACGTGGTTCATGAAACCAATTAGAAGTATGAGGAGCGGCTGGCCGAACGGCTAGAACGCCGGGTTCTCAAGCGGGAGATAATGGTTCGAATCCTGGATAAGGCTGAGGATGTTTTTTCTGTCGGGGGCAAAATAAAATCCGTGACAGCAACAGCACTAGCCATGCGGCCTTAAATCATCAAGTTCAAAGAACCCCCTGCCTATATCGCAAAAGTGGCATATTAAAGGCAGTAACTGGCAGTTTTA